ATTCTTGAGTGCAGTGTTTGTTCTAACGCCATGCCAAACACAGTGCATAAAAATGAGCTATGAACACGATTCTTCCCCTGCATAGAATAAAATAACAGTGCGTTATTGTTTTTTATTGAAATGGTTTCAATCGGAGTGTTCCAATCAAAAACGCTTTTTACGCTCGATCGTCTAAAAACACGAATAAAACATGCTATTATCAAATTGACACTCTTGGAATTGCTTGCCTGAAGTGATCAATTCGTCTATTCAAACCGTTTCACTGATTTCAGCTACATGTACTTGATCCAATGGTGGGCTATTCATGATTCCCGTTACATATCCATTTCAGAATTCAGGCAAACCGTTTAACGGACTGTGAATTGGGTTTTAAATATCTTACATGGGGAAAATGCCACAGGGAAACACTATCATGGTCTAGAGTTATTTTTCATTTGCTAAATCCACAGCATATTCAACTTGACATCATTCACATTCGTGTTATAACTTTAAACGTTTTGATTACAAAGAATACAAGGAATACGACGGAAGAATTGTTCCTAGTTCAATCACGTCTTGATAATATAATTTAATAATTGAAATAATATGAAATGGTATGGTAATACTTCCCCCAAAAGTCCAAGTGAGCTTGAAACCAATGGATTAGGAATGTTATAAATAATTTTCAATACTTCCTATGTTTACAACATGTCATTTAAAAGCACCCGTAGCCTAATTATGCGAGTCTGAAGATGAAGATTCTATGTATTACGTACATAGTGGAATGAATTCATTGAAAAAAAGATAATTACAGAGTTTGCCTGCAAACCTCGGTCAAAGAAAATTGATGCCTACCAAGGAAAAACAATGGCGTGCGAGTGGATAGAATGTCCCCCTTTATATATTTTAAGATCTACACGTTTGCGTTGTATCCCACTATTACATTTTACATGTACGGTCCGAACAGCAAATCGTTTCCCCAAAGAACTTCAGTTGTTAATTGGTGTAAACCGAAATATCCGTCCGCCTCCGGATCAAAGCAGGAAGGTGTGGGCTCGACCCGTTTCGGGGACACACCAATACTTCATAATTGGTAACTGCTGTCTTCCCGTTTGACACTCAGCACTTAGGGGTTGAAGCAGGGGAAAGGCACTTCGTTTGGCAGTGAAAGCTTAATAGCTTTCAGCGTCTCAAAAGGCAGCTGGGATGTAACCTCCCCAGGAAAAAAAGCGTCTAATGTAAACCGTACTGAGATGCATGTTGAGTGCGGTATACAAGAACTTTACTTTTACTTCTAAAAACCGAACATTTTTCATAGTCAACATTAATCCAGTACTAGTTCACCTTTAACTAAAAGATTGTCCTCTTCTTAATTTTATTGAACGGGCCTTATACAGACTTGACATTTAATATGCAAGTTTTACTTTTGAAGGTATGCCTAGGTAAAATGCATTCTCTTTTTCAAAATGCTTAGATCTCATATGAGATATGTGAATGGAAAAGTGTGTCGCTACCAATTAACTGACTACCATGGCTGTAACACTGCTGCGTAATATGTCCGGTCAGAGCTTGACTTTGGCGAAGCATGGTTCTAACCAAACATACCCATATGTCGTCAACTACTGCATAGATGAAATTGAAATCTTGCGTGCAAGCGGTCGGTTTTGCAGTGCGTAAAATGAGCTAGGCTAAAATTAGCTAATATTGTTTATCTGTGCCAGAATGGCGTGAAAAAGACAGACATTGCCAGACAGATTATCGTGTCACACGGAATGGTTCGCAAAGTTTTATAGAATTATGCCAAGACTGATGTACCTACAATGTATCGAAATCTTACCACCAGGATACAGGACTCACTGTCCTTAAGTTATTAAAACAAAATTTTAGTCATTATTTTCATTTATCAGTCTTGTGCAACGAAAATCTGCTGGGAAATGAGATTTAATAAGCTGAAAGAAAGGCTTTACCAACATTGCATTTCTAGGGATTGAACCATAAGATATTTATTTGCGAGTTTTTTCTTGATTTCGTAGTAACGTTTGTGTAGTGAAATTTGTTGTTGAAACAGATGGCTCGAGTGCGTCTTGGTACTTTCTATTTGCTGCTTCAAACATGTTTTCATCGCTGGAAATTGTGGATATTCTTGTGTTTATTGAGTTCGGATAGCAGGGTGGCTTGATTTGCGGTGCACATACAGTATAACGGCGTTAGGTTTTTTTGTATGATCCAAAGGATCCGTCTTTTAGGTTAAATGGCACGTCTAAGAAGTTAACGGAGTTGTGTGAGATGTTGGTTGTGACCTTTAATCCAATTTGTTTCTTGGTAGAGATAAAACCTTTGGCTATGTTGCTGACGTGTGACATTGAGTGATTCCTAAGGATGGTGAGGCCTATAAACTCCTTGATCTTGTCGACTAAAATCAGCCCAACAAGTTCGCATCAGCACCGTCCTACGATCCCCTTGTGATGTCGAACAAATCCGAATCATTCTTTTTAACCGTTGTTTGTGGAAAAGCAGTGGTTTTGGCTGGTGTCACAGTTAGTTTTTCCTCCTCGTCTTCCAATTTATTTTAAGTTTCGTCAAGTGCCCTGCTGTATTTAACAACTAAACTCATTGCAAGCAAACTGGAGTTAGACGAAAGTATTGAGATCCAAGGTGAGAATGAAGCTTTTATTATTATTGTACTTAAAGGCAGAGCACCTGATGAAACTAAAAAATAAGATCAACAACGAAGCTAAACTCATTGCAAGCAAACCGGAATTAGACAACCGCATTGAAAACCGAGGTGAGAATGAAGCTTTGATTACGGTCAAAGACCACAAAGACAATTTCCAACAACGTCCAATGCAGACTAATAAACCTGGCCAGAAGCAACATCGGGGAAATTAGTAACAAAACACTGAACAGAATTAACAAAGAACTGCCGATAAAAACGAGAGTTAACCAATAAAAGGACACCGTTTCGGCTATAAACTTGTTCAAAGGACTAACAAATAAGGAAAACTGCACGTTTCTGACGTTCGAAATAACTCAAAAGCTATTCAACGATGCATTTGCTTTCGCATCTAAATTCGTAAATATCTTCGAGGGGCAGCAAATAGAAAGTACCAAGGCGCACTCGAGTCAACTGGTTTCCACCACGCACTCCACTATACAAACGTTACTGCGAAAACAAGAAAAAATATCTGATGGTTCAATCCGCCATTTAGTGGAATTGTACAGACCAATGTTGGTAAAGCCTTTTTACAGCTTGTTAAATCTCATTTCCCAGCAGGTTCTTTGTTGTGCAAGATGTTAAACAAAAACACATTAAAATCAGCTATAGCTGTATGGACAAAATTGCCCAAATCATTAAAGCTAAGAACAACAGTTTAATCAATAACAGTACGACTACTGACATTGTATCAGAAGTATTAACTTGAAACTGTAGTATAAAAAGTGAATGCCCAAATGAATGGCAAATGTCTAGAAAAAAATGTAATTTATAATGCAACAGTGGCAACAGAAAATTAAACAAAGGAATATATTGGCATCTCTGAATGTGAATTTAAGTATAGATATAATAACCACAAGACTTTCAGCTGCCTAGTCAAAGGACACCAACCCTCATTAAGCAACTATATTTGAACTTTTAAGGACACAAAAATTAATTATTGGCTGAAAGGGACACTATTAAGGAAAGCACGACCATACTCAAATATAAATACAACTAAACGATGCCAGCTATGCATATGGGGGAAATTTTACATTATTACGACGGAAAAACACAAAATCCTGAACTCTAAAACAGAACTCATCAGTAAATGCAGACATTCTAGAAAATACCTGCTAAATCTTTGCTCTTGCAACTTCTGATATTCCGAAGATATTTCTGTATTTATTATGTTATAAAATCACATTCATTTATTACATAATATAGCCGCATTCCTTTGTTACCAGTGCACATGATGTACATAGCGCAAACGTCACTCGCAAATTGACGCGACATATCGCATTAGATCTATCCGTTTGTAGCAACTGTCCACTTTCTGTATTTTTATTAGATCTGTTTTCGCCCCTGATGGGGCCTTCAGGCCGAAACAGCTGTAGGGCAGAAAACAGAATTTATATATATAGGCCTATATACCCCATGGGTATGTCCGTGCAAATACAAACATTATGTCTAGTCTGTTTTTCGCATGTTGTTAATCAAATTTCAACATATACATGATATAGGCCTATGCATGCTGATATAACTGAGCTACATGTAATTCAATATTGACTGCTTGACTTGCTGATATTGTGAAAGTCAAAAATGTTTTCTTTATTTCTTGTGCTTCTACTTACAATTCAGATTAAACAAAATACCTATAGGCCTATTTTTCCTAGGTTGTCTTATTTTCCACCCTATTCACCTAAGTGGAGTTTGAATCAACTTATTGTCGACTACATAAGGCCGCATTCAAAATCAAAGTTGATCCGCGGAATAACAGATCCGCGGATCAAATATGGCCAGCTCACTAATAAGCTTGCCGCGTAATCCCGCTGGGAATCTATTCTGCGCCTACCAGGGGATTATGCTGCAAGCTTTCAAGTGGGTCGGCTATATTTGATCCGCAGATCTGTTAGTTTGAACAGATCAACTTGCCCTGGATGCGCCCTGAGTCAAACACATTCTCTATTCTTTTATGAGAAAAATGATGGGCATTGTTTTGTTTGGGGCGGACAGCAAATGGAACTGGTCTCGAAGAAAATATAGTGAAATGAATAAGTCAACATTTCCAAACTCTTTTAAATAAAAAAAAATAAAATAAAATAAAATAAAATAAAAACATTTTCCTAGAAAAAGAAAAAAAAAAGCAAAAACACTTCATAATGAGAGTGTAGTTTTGCTCTTTGGTCGTTCCTTTGTATGACACGACTAAATTAAATAAAAAGATAGTCAGCCATAATGGGGAGTGCACGAACCTAACATCTGTTTTAGACATTTGCCGAACTCCCGGGCACAGCTCGATAAGATGATGGGACCAGGTTAAACGCCTTGAACTCTGTCCCGATGCGACAATGATACAGCAACAAGGTGAAGCTGCACTGCGCCGTGCTTAATTCCATCGACTGTCAAGAAGGTATGTGCACTTATTATACTGTGTTTATAATATACGAAACTCGTCACTGTTTAATATTGGATAAATATATCCACTGAAAGGACAAGTGCTAGTAATGCAAATACCACATATCGCTACTTTGAGCAGTTTCGCTTAGGATTCAAAAAGAAGGGAAATTAAAAAAAAACGCTGGAATGACGAAAGACAACATAACGGTTTATTTTATCTGTCGTAAAATATATAACGAAAAAGTAATGGTTTGGTCCCTCTCCATTTCCTTTTCTCCTTAACAACTAATTTTATATTTGATTATTATAACTTCAACATTCACTGTTTTTGTATGTTGGTCATGCTGACATACTCATGTCGAGTATTTCAACACGATAATAACCTGAACCTGAGGCTCATAGAGGTGGGGGTGGGGTTGGGGGATGACGGAACCACCCTTTTGGTCGAAAAGGGTTTTAGAAGGTTCACTCTGAGTCAAAATTTGATCTAATATGCTCCATGCCATTCTTCAAGTTGTTTAATCAAAGGGGAGACAAGGGCTCGTATTTTAAGAACCTCCCCCTTGTTTACTACAGAACTGCTGTTGAGATATTTGAGCGGTGATATAAACGTATCATCACAGCCAGCCTCTCACGAAATTCCAAATTATAATTTTTCGCATGAATAGCTGCAATAACCAACCACATATTGTTCTATAGATTTAGCTTTTATAAGCACTGATTTGAAAAATGGCACATTGGCGGAAGTTAGTAGCACATTTGATTTTTATGCTATTTTGTGACCAGATTTTTAAAACATGGGATGGGTTTTCACTTTCAAGTAAAAGAAAAGGTCTTTCTTTTCTTATTTTAGGGGTGAGGGTGGGGGGAGAGGAGGTGTTGGTTCTGCCATATTGTTTTGGATAAAGAGAATTTTTTTCTTCCACTGAATCTATCATTGTTCCCAGCAAACACAGAACGTTTTGCAACGTCACCATAACGTTTTTTAGTCATATAAACGTTATGGTAACGGTTTTGTAACGTTACGTGTTTTCTGGGTTGATGATTCTAGGGGATAGACACTTGGAGACCATTCCCACATTCCCACAGTCGGCATCAACAATGTACACACGCAATGTGTCAGCCTCTTCTACAAGTCATTTCTTCCGTGACACTTAGACTGGGTTCCCATGCCTAGATCGATCCATCTGGATCGATCTATCTCCCTGGGAAGTCTCACTAAATTGCTGTCAACTTGGCCGGCTAAAATGTCTGTCACGCCTAGTAAAGCTGTTAGGGGATAATTATCTTTACCCCCTAGCTGATTCGGTAGGCGTGACAGAGATATAAGCCGGTTATTTGATAGCAATTTAGTGAGACTCCCCAGGGAGTTAGGTCGATCCAGATGGATCGATCTAGGCATGGGAACCCAGTCTAAGTGTCACGGAAGAAATGACTTGTAGAAGAGGCTGACACATTGCGTGTGTACATTTGTTGATGCCGACTGTCCACTGACAAACGTGGCAAAAAGAAAATTAGTAAATAAATATACAGATCAATAAAATAAGAATTAAAAGATGGCGATAAACACTGATACCTTTAATCTAGATTGAATGATCAAAATTCTAGCTCGATCATATTTGCCAACAAAACTGAAATTAAGAGGATATACGTTTAGATGATAATATTGTTTGGTAAACCGTTTTATTCACTCATCCCGGGTTGTAAAAGTCGTGAGCTCTTTATTATGAGGTTTGAATACTAATGAAAACATCTTGCTCACTTAATCCTAACTTAATCAGAGTGGAGATTCTGTCAACTTAATCAGCTTTATCTCAGTAGCACAACAGTGCGACCGTGACTTTCAAGGTGACAAGGACAAAGGTCGGCAAAAATAGCCTCTCAACAAGAGCAAAAAAGAGTCGGGATTGGCAAGAATGATGCTTTTATGATACCTTATGACACCTTTGCGAATGTAGAAAACACGGTTTACATTTTGTCAAACTGTAAGATGTCTCAAAAGCAATCACGGCCATGTATAAGAAGATTATATTAAGTGTTTGTCTGATGTAATATTCGACATTGATCGTGTTCTGTCCATCCACCATACACAACAAATAAGTCACCAACTGATACAACGTCTATGGTGACCCATTAACGTCATGAATGACGGACTTTTACTGCCTCAGAGTTCTGAGATAACTTCGAACTTGGGTGAAGGACTGTTTTGAATCTTTTGTTTTTTATTTATTACATGTAGCTTTTAATGCGAGTGTTTCATACATCTTTCTATTTAGTTAATTATTTGCTGTATCAGTCAAGTGCCAGGAAGGGTAGTCCGCTAGGAACTGGTCCGTCCCCCATCACCTACAGGCGACATTCGTCCCATAAACTAACCCAGTGGTACGACTAACCCTAACCTGTATTGGTCATATGGGACCCCGGATTTCCATTCCTAGGAATACCATTTCTGTCACACCGGTATTCTTTAGTTATTTTCTGAACAGCAAATTATTCAGTTTGAATCAGTTTTTTTCTTGTGTCAGTTTTTCGTAATCTTGGTCAGTTTCAAGTAAGATTGACACTCATTTCACTCGGTGATGTTTTGGCCCGTGTTGTAATGAGACACATTCAGTAACATCAAAACTAGCATTTCAATTTGTTGAGGGTGGTACCGTAGTAAAAATTACAGTCGTTTTTTTTTCTGTAACATATGCTTAACATGCAGGATGTAGCCTTCAATTCAATATGTAACACGTCTGAATGCCTATGAATCACTTTTCGGTGCGTTTTAACTGCTTGGACATAGAGACACTGTGTCTGAAGTAACGTTATAGTGCACAGCTTATGGCTTTTGCTTTGGACAGCGTTTTGCCTCCAGTACGTGCACAGAAAATCAAGAATTGTCGCTTTATCTCCAGTGCGTTCAGCCCCTGGAAGTCAAAAGTACAACATTTTGTACTGCTCAGTCTTATCATCTGTCGAGATAATTGTATAAATGCATGTATGCCATTATTTCTATATATCAGATTTAATAGAATGATACATTGTTAGACCCTGACTGAAGCTATATCAGTAGCCCGCATTTACTCTCTGACCACAGAGTGCGCTGCAGCTGGTAGTCTGTTACAAAAATGTTTAAAAGCCCATAGTGTGATTTTGTATTTTAGTGCCCCCTTGATATGAGAGGGTAGCCCGCAGGAGCAGCTAACTTTTAAACTTTTTCTAGTTTTACGTATGTACTTTAGACTCAATTATGGTGGTTACATAGAAAGAAAATAGTAAAAAAAGAAAAACTTTTTAGTTACTTGGTATGTAGACATGATACTTGTGTTTTGTTAATGCATGCATGCATATATTGTATGCATTTTTAAGCGGATAATGTATTGTGGTTATATCAAGGTTTTTTTCTCATCTAATGCCAATAGTCTAACATAGTGTGGAATGTTATTTATTATCACATTAAACATGATGTTTTTGCAATGGGTGTGATCAGCACTTATTCACTGATAACCGATAGTTAAATTTGTTATCAAGAGGGTTGTGTGAATAAGTTCGTTGACCTGATAAACAAGGCAGATGCTAGATAGTATTATTTTTGTTTCTCATTCTAGATGGACGTTAAACTACCATGCCTGCTGTTTCTAGCCGTTTGTGTGGCTGGTCAGTGTTCGGCAACGTTTATTGGTACGTAATTAATGTTATTACAATATTCCTGGGTATTAACGAAGGTTCCATGGAGGCAGTGCTAATTTTTGGCCTCGTATGAAAATAATTTGACATTCGTGTGAGGATTTCTACCCTTTCCTGTTGTTCATGCTGTTTGAAATGAGAATTATTTCATTGAAGATGTTTCGTCCTATCTTAGTATGTACTATATCAGCATATCGCCCGATTTTACCCCAAGGAAGTCAATTCTTACATGTGCCTCATGTAAAATGAAGGTGGGTGGGACGCCAGAGCGATTAGAGTGTTTCCCTGACAGGGGCGGATCCAGATAAATTTTCTGACAGTCTTCCAAAGTATCTTTGTAAATCCATCCTCTATTTTTTCCGACAAAAAAGTTAGATACCCATCAAAGTAAACTTGAAAATCTGACTGTCTTCCGGAAGACCCAGAAGACAGCCTCAATCCACCACTGCCCTGAACATAAAAGCCATAATAACCTGACGACCCGCTAAGATACAAAGTGGAACGTTATAAGTTAGGTTGTCCCATCTTAACTCCAAGCACACCTTTAGAGCGCTCATTAGTTGGTCACATTTTAGAACTGGGCCAGGGGAGTAATTGTTCATTTTACACATATACCGGTAGACAATTATTAAAGGGGCTGTGTGCAGGGTTTTGATTCAAGAATACTAGGTTTTAATAGACATGCACTCTTTTTCACTTCTAATAAAGTTGATTCACACATACTTGTAAACTCTTGTGTGAAACTGTGATAAAGATACAATGTAACTGATGAACCTTCAATACTTACAGGAACGTATGCTGAAAAACTGAAGAACGACCTAATTAAGAAAATAATGGCGGAGTTCAAAATACTCTTAGAGATAGCAAAAAACTATCCGTTGCCGACACCAACTCCCATTTTTAAGGATCGTGACAACAGAAGTGATCTCGAGAAAATATACGACTGGTTAAAATCCCTGAATTTAACCCAGTTGCTGCAAATATGGAGAGAAGTCCAGAGAATTAAACAAAATGGTGTTTCTCCAGATGGTACCATAAACTTCCTTGGAAAAACTTTCCATGTAAGCAGCCTGATAGACCATTGCTGCCTCATTGGGTAAAGACACAACGGAGGTGTAGATTTTTTTTCCTACTCTCTCCCTATCACCAAGGGAACACTCTGAAACAATAATTCAACATCCAGTGGTTAAGAAATTCAGTGTCCAGATTTTTTTCCGAGAGAGAGAAAAACAGTAACGTTTAGTGGCTAAATATTCAAGTCTCCGTGTGTTTTTTATTTCCTGGAATGGAATTAAACATATTGAAAGCAAAGGAATTTTCGTCAGATCTGAAATAAAGATGTATACCTATTCATTGAAAGTGTGCATGTAGAGGGATGACTCCTGAAAGATATTTAAGACAGCAAAAATCTCATGTACTGCCGCTTTGATAACTTTGTCTTGTAGCCACATTTTCAGCTAAAACTGACGCGAATGGGAATCTGACCTGTCGTTTGACCGGACAAAACTGGCCTGGCACAACCTCAAACCAATATTGACTTCACTGTCACATACTTGAGCTTTTGCACTTAGTCCTACATACATACATACATTGATACTGCCCATGATTTAGTTGATACAGTTTGGTGTGTTTACTGGGTCAATACGAAATCTAAACAGTGCCCTCTTTCGCAGATGCTTGATAGAGAGTTCATTGAGGTCTTCCCATACTCAAAGCCGAGTCCCTTGCGTTTATTCCACCCTCCTTGGCCTTTTACAGAACAAAACGTCGAAGTTAACCCTGCAGCTTCTTCAAGGGGCCAAATGACACACACACACCTATGAGAAAACGTATCAATACTTTATGCACTTGCAAGCATGGAGCGAAACAGATACCCACTGCCAGACAAATTAATTTCACGTGGAACGGTTCACACAGCCTTACAGACACATGCTCAGACTGCACCTACTCAGAGGCCACGCCCAAGGCATCCAAAATTTACCACCGGGAGACGGAACCCATTTGACTGCTTGTTTAAAGACTTAAAATCAGCCACATATTTTTGTAATTCTCTATTGATGAATTCAATTTAAGAACTTCTAGATTATTAAAATATATTAAAACGCGATTAAATTATTTGTTTCATTTATTACCCAGAAAAATTGGAAAATATCAAAGAAAAAATAATTTGGAAAAAGCATTCCATATTAAGTGTCAACACGGTAGTTTGTTTTCCGACAGTTCATTGCAGAACTTAAGTTCTGTGCCTTTTTTGGCGGTGATCAGGAAATCAAGATTTCACACTCAGTCTCAATTTGCGCCAAGCAATGTGATATTAATTACGTTCAACTATGGTGACACTCTGAATAGTAGATAGTTTTTGATAAGTAGATTCCAAATGCTGTGCAGTTCCGTCTGACAACACAACAGCATGGTAGTGAAAATTAATCACTTCCTTCGTTAACCAGTTTTATCGGACTTGATGTAAAGTCTGCGTTTGTTATTTGCTTTCTGCAAATCTCTGCCTTACAGGCAATTAAAACTGAAGACGTACATGTAATACATGGACTTATTAAAATTTGTCTATGCTTAATAGAAAAGACACGTAACGATATTGGAAAGAAAATACTGAAAGTTCACCCGTAGACAGATACATTTGTTCTTACATTTTTTACAGCCAGGACTGAATACGAAAGTCGAAAGATTGATAGTGGTCGTTAAAAGTTTACATGGCTACACGAGCAAAATTTATATTAATTCATACCCATGTTTATTGTAGAATAAAATAATGAAAAATATCTTTATCACGGAAACCAACTTTCATTGCTTTATATATGTAATACAAAACTTCTACCTTTACTATGTTGCAATACTTACTGTCCCTAATGGGCACGTGACAAATCTCATAGTGCAAAGTCGCGGTGAGTAACAAACTTGGGATATGTGAAATACAGAAGCGCCTTAGGTTTCCACTGAGTCTAAAAAAAACCTCTGACATTCTAAATATTAATGTTATTAAATCGATTATGGATTTTGACGGTAAACTTTACTTTGAACTAAATGAGTACTTGACATTTATGGTATCAGATCGCGGGTACTATGGCCGTGGGAATTGGCGCAATGTCAGTTTGATTTGCTAAATTAAAAGAAGACGGGGAAACAAGACAAATAACCCACAGATTTTACTAGGTTTTTAATCATTTGCCAAAAAACTAAATTCTATCTACCTGCTAATGTAAATGAAGCATATATCCGGCTAGGCTGGTATATTTTGGGACACCCCATTCATATCTTGTAATTCCGGAATTAAGTACGAGTTTGGTGGGTCTTAGCCCACTTACGTGAATGAGGGTACATGTATCTTATATAGTAGAGCGCAAATATAAAGTTAATGAATAATCAGAATAAACAGCTGATATGTTTGATTGGACGTTGCTCATTTATCTGTTTTGTATGCTCAGTGGACCCCATTGAGGCCATTCAGAATGAGAAAAGCCGAGTGCTAGCTAGGCCACGACTCCCCACGTGTCGTCCCTCGACCGGGACGACGCGTGGGAGGGCGTGTGAGAGGCGGAGAGACCATTACATGATTAAGCGGTCTTCCTTTCATGTAGGTCTGCCATATTTAAGTCGTGGCCTAGCTAGCACTCGGTTTTACTCATTCTGAATGGCCTCTATAGATGTTCGGCCTATTTCAAATAATGAAATCTAACGATACGCTAACTGAGGTCCAAATATTGTCATTTTCATTTTACCCCAAGTCGTGGAAACATTGTTTACTTGCTCAACCGGTCGGTTTTTATAACTCAACTGAATATATGTTGGGAGTTGTGCACCCAACAAACTTGGACTTTTGAGGAAATAGCTTTCCTTGTTAACTTGAAGATTTCACCAAACCGTTTGCTTGAAGGTTCACGCGGTGAGCCTGCCTATATGTCGCACAGGGTTCCACAGTTTTTTACATGATGGAGTTCTCACTTTTGCAAGCCCTCGTCTGCTTCCAGTTGACTTTCCATACCCACGCGTTGCCAACAAGAAAGAATTATGACAGTAACATCTCTTCAGAATTTGGTCTTATGCTAACTCGATTAAGTAAGTATTCTTAAATGTACATTTGTTGTTATGAAATAATCGTGTCAAGGGACCTTAACAAAAACAAGGGGTAAAAGGGGTGAAAATAAGTTTTTAACGTTTTTTTCATTCATAGGTTTCAGCAAATTTGACAGTTACATTAATTTGGTTTGCGTTATGTAGTTTGCATTAATTTAAATTCCTGTGAAATTTTTAATATTAGAGAAGAACTTATAGTTTCTAAGTACTAAAAGTATGTACCAATGTGAAAGACAAAAATCTCAAGCTCTTGGGTCGGAGAGGCTTTGTTAACCCTTTTGAATTGGACATAGCTTGCCCAGGCCTACCCAAATACCAGACTCAGCACCGAATGATCCTGAATCCACACTACCTTTCTTCAAGGTGTGCGTCAGGACGAGCATCGAAGTATCAGACGCGACACCGCTCTTGCCTAGCACGCGATGTGATAGCGATGATTCTCAGCGGGGTTGGAAAGTAGCGCATCTCATCTAAAAAATTTGTTCCGTGGTATGATACTGTGAAATGCGTACTGACGCATACCTTGAAAACGAGTAGTGTGGTCCGATCTACCGGTGAATTCGGGATCATTCGGTGCCGAGTCTGGTAGTTGAGTAGGCCTGTTGCCTGTGTCCCTCTGTATGTGCCTTTGTCAATACAACTGCATTTTGATTTTTTTCTAGGAACAGCTTACTCCTCCAAGGGAAACTATGTTAATGAACAAAAGACACAAAACACTAAATGGCACAATGTAGACATACTTCTACCTACTCAAGCATTCCGGGGTCAAAAAGATCACAAAAGTCACAAATTACCAGGAAAAGATTCAGTAGACGTGGCACAAATCCGTCGTGCTGTTGAGCAGTTGGACAATAAGAATGATATAAAACTTAACAGAACGGAGACTAGTGCCAAGATGAGAGTGAGAAGAGATTCTAAAGCTAAGGAAATATTGAAAACCTGGTTTAAAGCATGGGCTAAGCACGCCAAGCAGACAACAAAGAAACCCACAGGAAAAGTCATTCACAACGGGAAAGTATTTGATCTGACAAAACTGACTGCTCACTGTTGTATGGTGGGTTAATTCCAACTTAATCCTAAGCATGTTACAAAACCATAATAAACATGGATATAAGTCTGACTATAAAATCTAACCATCTACTGCATGTGACATCACAAACCGATGTTGGCTACAAACTTCCTCGAGTGTGGTGACAATGTCTATGCAGATAAACGAAATGAAGGGCTGTGAAATTTCACTAACACTTTGAAAACGCCAAAACAGTCTTCTTAAAAGGCGTGCGATTCCACACACACTAGACAGGCAGATATTTTAAGTGAATACATAGGCTACTGTTTGGCGGTTATAGACATGGAATTGACGCCTTCGTTCACAGGAACAAATGACTCAAGTGTGTATATAAAAAATGAATCAATTGCTGTCTTTATCCTTTTTAGGACAAAGGGATGATGTTTCGTTAAAGACGACTTGCGATTTGGAGTTGCAATAATTCTATTACTAAATGTATTTACAGACAATTGGAAAATATGTATATTAGATTTGTACACAGTAGTAAGCTTAAGAAATAAAGCTGTTGCTTTCGGTGTTTAATAGGCAGCTGTAGGCACAAAGCAAAATAAACGCCTACGTCTGTATTTGTTTATTTGCCATGTTCTCTACCTAATACGGGAAATGATTGCCTTTTGATGTAATGATAAGATAAATGTTACGTATCTGGTGGACTTATCACTTTCTGATAAGCCATTTCAATTAATCTATGTCTAACAGTATAGATACCAAACTGAGTAAACGCATCATGAACAATTAAGTCGAAGAAATACTAAGTTAATAAATGATCAATGAATGCGATAAGTAAATCCGACAACACCGTGTCAGCACAACACCTAAATAAAAATTGCATAACATGTGGAAGGCTGACAGTATAAAACAATTCCAACGATATGCACGATCAAAAGTTCCCTCTACCAGGGCGACTGATATATTTTTACAGATATTCACAGATATGTCTCTAGCTAGATAGATGGTCATTTTGGGCTGAAGTCACCCTGTTGAAAAATCCCTTGTGGAAACAATTATCTCTGCGCGCGCGCCAAAGGGTTTGTATTCGCTCTGGATGAGCTGGGCTTCACAACGATGTGATAACTGCTCGTTACACAACCAGACTAAGGCTTTTTTATCTGTCACAGAAGAGCAAGTGATTAAAGTCAGAGCAATTAACTGCCTTGATTGCTGTCTGACTTAGACTGGACCTGCTAAGTGGCAGTGCCTGAGCAGTTACGCAAACAATTACCAGGCATGTAATCAGCCTTGAGATTTCTCAACAGGGTGACTTCAGCCCAAAATGACCATCTATCTAGCTAGAGACATATCTGTGAATATCTGTAAAAATCTATCAGTCGCCCTGGTAGAGGGTATGCATGAGGTAGTGGGAACCGGTGTAACAGGAATGGAAGTCCGCTAGGAACCGCATTCCGCTTCCCACTGCCTTGTGCAGGTGACATTCGTTCCATATTCTAACCCCAATACTCCAACTAACCCTAACCTGTACAAATCATATGAGACCCCAGACTACCACTCCTAGGACTTCCATCCCTGTCACACCGGCCATCAACGACATTCCTGAGGGTCCTCATATCATGATCTCCGGACCAAGGCCTCAAAAAACGGATCAGGCGTTTTCTTACTCGAGCCTCAGATTAATAAGCACAAATGCCCAAATTAAAAACTCCAGTCATTAAAAACTTAAACTACAAATATAAATTAAAAACTAACATTAAAGTATTTAAGATTAAAAGATAAAAGTTAACCAAAATGTTCTTTAATTAAAAAGGTTTTTTAATGCTTTTTAAAACAGTGATAACGTGTGAGCAGGTGTCACGTGAAGAAACCGTCGTCGTGAATAAACCGTCCTGACGGATTATTCACGCGGGGGTAGCAGTCCGTTGACTTACAGTACGTAGCTGCACATGCATTTCCAACATTTTCCCGCAGAGAAATTTATAGTTTTATCAAACACACAATTTAATTTTAACGAAAATTACTTAACTCTGAATTGAAAGAACATTGTAGCGTGAAAAAATTTATACTACGAGTCTTACATATGTAGATCTAGCACGTTTTTCTCACAGAGCAAAACAGTTCAGTCACGATCAAAAGCTCATTTCCAGCATTCCCCCGTATAGTTATAAGATTATCAAATACATACTCTCTCATGACATAAACCACTGCATTATGAATTGAAAGAGCATAGTTCAGTGCAAACATAGCGCCTACTTAGGACGACATCGTCATACCGGCAGTTCCTTCTTGCAATCTACCCTTAATGCGCATGTGCAGAACGATTTTGTCACGGAACGGGTCTATCATGCCACACCGGACATCGTTGAGAACGCATTGCTGCCGTATGAAAAGAAGCCGTAGGGGGCCTATGCAGAGACCAGGACGGAAGCTGGCCAATTTGTTTGTGTAACGAAACGCTAAGCTTGTGGCAAGCAATTTTACGTTGGGGTCGTTAGCAGTGGCTAGACGCGTTAATTTGTGCATTTATGCTACCAAACTCAAGGCACGTGTTAGACAACGGCAATTATCGTTTCAAAGGCCTGGAACCTTGTCGGTCAGAACACAAGCAAGAACGGCATGACAGAGTTTGGTTGCGCGTTAGTATTTGGCAAATGGTCTTCTTTCCTTCACTCTACATGTGCTTGGGTCGCGGTGTGCTTATTTTGATCCATTGGACCCGTCCTTCATTTCTTTTTTGTTTGACATTTCTTTTGGACATGAAACAACGTTCCTGAAACCAAGAAAAGAACCCAGTAGAGCATGTTTAAACAAAATAAGGGCATACAGTACTCAGTAAAAAATTAACTTCCTAAAAGTCTTATATATTACCATAATTCATTTCAGGAAAGTACGTTATAACGATAAATATTTTTTTGAATTTGCCAGCGTAGTGCGTGTTTCACTTGCATCTTAATGTCGTTCTGGTCAAGGAAGTATAGTACTATATACTATAATTCCTCGTTCTAGTCATGTTCATGTGGTCATATCCATGTTATGTTTGCAATATCTTAAGACAAACAAAAGTCGTGAGTTACATGATATTCACAAATATATGGAACGGACAACAGTGTATTTTCCAGTGTTTGTGAAACCAAATCCACAAGCAGACTATTATAATGTCGGATCTGCAAGTGAATCTACAGAAAGCCAAAGATGCTTAATTTAATTGGTTTTACTTTTCAAGTGGTTACCAACACAAAAAATCCATTTTTTCACCGACTAACCAACCTTTGGTCTTTCTCTCCTGGCAATTTATCGCTATAACACTGCAACAATTTGGAAAAATTAAAAACCCTTAACCCACACTTTAAGATGCGGAGAAGGGGATTGGCAGGAACGGGGCTATCTTCTTAACCGAACGACATGTTGCATATCAATAAAAGGCTTATTTCAACAGATTTTCATATCCTTACATTATTACCCAATAGTTATGAGATAAAACGCTTCATAGGTTTTCTTAGCCTGATATTTATACCCTAAAAACTGATACTCAGTTACAAATGCACATGTGCAGACAACATGGTCTGATAGCCCCCTTGAGTATAAACCGAAATGTGTCTTAAATTCTTGATGTGTGTCTGATTCAGAGATGCCAACCTCTGGAAATCTAAAATTTGAAGATTCTATAATTTTGCACAGTGGGAGGGGCGGGGGGGGGGGGGGAGTCAAAAGATTACCCGATTACTGTGAAGACAAATCGATTTTCAATAGTTTGCCTAAAAATATAAACACAACTAAAATTGTTTTGATTTAGGAATTTTAGACAGGACGTTAGCGGACGTTTCAAAGTCACTTTTATCCAGATTTGATTACCCGTACAGGAGACCTGGAGATTCGTTTTTTTATCCGGGATAGTTGACATGTATGCTAATTAGCAATTATATCACAATTTACATAATTATCACTTAAACGATACCCCCTACCATGACTAAAAAACGAAGCTTTTGTTATGAAATCCCAGGCACATTCCTAAATGCAATCTTTCATGGGTTGGAGGTTCTAATAAGTTTTGACAATGGCCTAAATCTTTAACTGAGAAAACCTTTTTAAGCCTTATATCACCATTGAGTTCAAAATGAAGTGGTTGATGCTTTTTTTGAAATAAATAAATAAATAATAGCGTGTGCTTTGTACTAGCACTAGCTACTACGAGCCCGGTTGGTTGCGTTATCATATTTGATTCTTACAGAGAAGACCAGATAGAGAAGACATGACTGACAACTGTGATACTGATAAACTGTAAACCATCTGGTGGGTATTTGAAACTCTGAAGGACAGAATCTTAATCGCAACCCTATTCGAAATCCTGGATTAAATCCTTTTCATCAACATTACCTTAACTTTTGTTAAGAATACCTCCGTGTCTATATATTTATCCACACATACACGTTCGTGCCTTTGGTGTGGTGGTGGTGGTGATGGGGGTGGTGGTGGTGGTGGTGTGTGTGTGTGTGGGGGGGGGGGGGGGTGCACAAAAATCTTCCACCTGGGCCTGCCACGGGGACGTGAAACTCTACCAGAGGCCTTTCTAGCCGTTAAAAAATTGGACTAAGGGCGTCTTTTTCTCACTTTTATAACAGTTTTATAACTTTTTACAACAGTTAAACTGTTCTGTAATAGTTTTATAACAATTTTATAATAATTTTATAAGAGTTTTATAAGAGTTTTATAACAGTTTTATAATAGCTTTATAACAGTTTCATAATAGTTTCATAATTGTTTTATAACAGCAATTGTTACAGCTAGAGAGACCTATAGTACAGAGTAAGGAAAGGAGATGACGCCAATGTTTTAGTTGCACATATTTGTCACAATTCGGGAGCACATCACATCACAGTGATAGCAATGAATAGCATACCGCTGCTCATTTGTCTTTTAAGACATGTATGACTGTCGAACGCGTTTTACTTTAATAAAGCAACTATAGCACTGTAACAGTACATTCAAATATATTGTTTCATACGTAATTATTTTCCCGCATCAATAAAGTTGCACTTCCATACACATGTACGTTCGACAGACTGGATAGCGCTAAGTTTTGGTTAACACTGGCCACTGGATAAAATTGTTATTCTTAATTTTTTATGACACTATTCTCTGCCCGTGAAACAGCGATTTCCTCTGGAGAAGATACCCTTACTCTGTGGAGCCGCATTTTGCAACCGCAACGCACTTTGCTGCCAGATTATATCTAAGTCGCTGATACGGATTTTAGAAAGAGAAATAGGGATGGGGTAGGGATGAGGTTATTAGTAATTGACGCCGTACGCCGAATCCGGTAAAGGATCTGAAACCTGTGAAACCTGTCATTTGGGAATGCAAGGGCCCTCCCAAAATAACATGCCATGGGTCGTCCCCGAGGGTAGAGGATATTATTATACATATTGTAATTTCCGATAATCTCTTCCTACACATTAAAGTAAATTAATTTTTTGGGGATTGATAGACCTTTAATCAGGGATGTGCAAGGACACGTTCGTCACACTAATGGTCTAGGAGGAGATAGCGGAAATTACAAATGAAAAATTGGAATCATTCATCCCGGAGACGGCCCCTCCCTCATTCGCACTGAAATTCAAGCGGGTCCGTGCACATCCTTGATGACAGAAAAAGTTTTAGTTCCTGTCTCAGTCCCATCGGATTCGGCGCACGGTGCTCTCTTCCCTAATAGATATTCTCTATGGCATGTAGGGTACTTGAAACCGTTTCAGTGATTTAAAAATAAAACCTATACTACTGTAATCGCATAATGCGTTGTACTTGCAAATATCGTCGCATTTTGCAACCGACCGCGTTTTGCAACCGGTTGCAGAGGCGACCCTACATCTCTCTTCCAGAGGCCAGTCTACCTGTTACAAAATTGGGCAAAGGAGAGACAACCAGAGGAGAACCAATGGGATAGCGCTATCAGGCATTGGTGACATTAAGCACAGGTGTTCGGTATGTCATGTTGACAACAATGCCCGAACACATGATCAAAATTGCACACATTGCGCTTAATGCACATTTGCCAATTAACCCTGTTAAACCAACTTTCAAACTATCAACATAATGCATTTAATCCTTTTAAAAACATTTTATTATGACAAAGAAAAAAAAAACGTTAGACCCAGCCCCTGAATATGAATATCAACAAACCGCGTATCGCCCAGTGCTTCTACATTTTCTAAGTATCAAAAGAATAAATTTACTAAAGCATCAACATACAAAGGTGTATCCATAGATACATTTGAAAAATGCTATACTCAACCTTTAGCTTGACTACCAATGTAAAAAAAAAACTGGCACCACAAATTCGTTTCTTTAACACATTTATCCAAATACAGATCCCAACATAAAAGGTTTCTTCCTTAAAAATTGAAAAAACACAGCTACATATCAATGAAAACCAATATAGAAATTATATGTATCTTGTAGTCTTTATAGCCTTACTAACAGCAACCTTGATCAACAATGTACGTTATAAAGCAGCTGTGTTGTCCTTTCAAGTAATGCTAAATATTACACCTAACATAAAAATGCAATGTACAGATCATACAGATCTCATGGCTGTTGCTCTGCCCAGGAAAACAAAGCAATAAACTGCCCTGGAATGTTTCCATAATAGACTGCTTCTCAGTTTGCATACTGCTGAATAATGTTAACCATAAGCAAAAGTGTATGTCTTATAGACCATTCAAAGTTAAAAACAAAAATGTTTGATTTCATTTTCATTCTCCAAGGATTTTGAAATATACAGTGAAGAGTTTAACAGCAGCAAGATACCTCTACTGGTAAAATTGTTCATGTGATGCTATATTTTCCAATGCACTCCCCCTTTATAGAAATGCCAGCTCACAATATGACCTTATTAGCCTATAATCTGCAGGAAGACATAATACCATGCAAAAATGCACGATTAATTGAAAATGACATTTGCCCAGTGTTCATGAGATAATTAATTCAATTCTCAGCACTTCCAATTACATAATTTTAATGCTTTTTTAATACCCTGTCAAAACTATACTTTTCCTTGATGTTGGTATGATCTGTGCAAATTCATTTCTAGCAATCAATGAAATCAATTAGTGGGCAAGATTAAAAAAACATTTGTAACAAAATATAATAAAAAAAGAAAGACAATCAAGTCATGGTACATCACTCAATGGCAGCTAAGAAGTTGTACAACAGCTCATGCCATTTCTCTGGTTTATCTAAATAACAAGGGTGCCCTGCATCCTCTATTTTGAATATAGCACTATTTCTGATGTTCCGCAGGTCATTCAGTGAGGTCAGGCCCAGTGAGGTGTCCTTGGACCCATAGACTATCATGGTGGGCACCTGAAAGAAAGAGGTACCATGATAAATGAAACTTCTACTTTATTTTGTAGATTTAATATATTACATAAATAATTACAGTGATTGCTCAACAAATTTGAATTAAATGGTTTTGCCATTTCTCCCAAATGGTTTTGTTTATAAAATCTGAAAGGGATGTTAAAATATATATATTTTAGTAAATTTGGGTTTATTCCAGAATATAAGATTTTGCAAGAAGACCAATTTCAATGTTCAAATAAATTTACAAACTTCCTTTTAAGTATAAACATGACTTTTTTTTTATTTTGAGAAGCAGAGAAATTGTTATGGATTTGGATGATTTGAAAAATATCACATAAACTTTGATGAGTGTAAGGCAGTTTTTCCTCCCAAAATCCGAGCATTCTAGTACAAGTACATCTGTGTGGCACCATTTGTTTTCCATAATCAACAGCAATGCCCCCCTCCTTAAAATAATCTCACCCAGCTCAAGGAGGTGAATGAACCTCATCAACCTCCTTGCCCAGTCTTACCTCTACTCTGTGGTACTCTGAATGTGTAAAAGCCCCAGTATTTACTGGAGCCACAGGGATGTAACCACGGAGACGTTCCTGTGCTTTGACGGGATTCTCCATTAGATATGGAATGGCAAACTGTCCACTCATGGATGGGCTGACCAGCACTGGACGCTGCAAATCTAACTCAGTAATCAGCGCTTTCATAAAGGGGACTGCTTGAGAGGAAGCCTCGGATTTGTGGCTCTGTCCAAATCCTGGAAAGTAAATAAACTAATCAGAAAATTTAAAGGACTACAGATAGGGTAAAGAAACATTCTAGTAGATAATTTACAACAGTGGTGCCTGGTGGAGGGGAAGGAGGGGGAGGGGCAGATGACAGTGAATGAACCTGAAATATCTTAAAGCTTGCCCCCCCCTTCCATTGCCCAGCCAAACCTTGGATCAATCAGTGATACTGTCATATCACTGATGATTAGTATTTTTATAGCACCCAAATATTGACAGCTGGTCTTATTTGATTATATTAAAGGGATATTTTGCCCCTTTCATCTCTGGGGTACTGAAAGGTATTTCTGCCCTCCTATTCTCTGCACTTCAGGCTTTTACATCCCTGAAATATTGGTAAGATTCAGCATATAGCATCAAAGGCTTGGAAACTGTTTCAAGGTGAATGCCAATCAACATGGGTCAACGCAACTTTGACCATGAGCTCTATAATCAGACCACCAGAATCAGGTCCCTTTGCCCACTGCAATTATAACACTTATATTAGTATACTGCCATTAGATTGGCTTCATATGTTCACGAAATAGAATAACTTTTTCAAACCCATAAGGACATGATCTTCGAATAAATTACTTCTAAGACTCCATTCCAATGGACACCAGTGGTCTACTTGGATCAACTCAACACCGTGGGGACTCTGGCTGAGTGGAATCAGTTTTACTGAATGACAGTCAGCAAGAGTCCCCACAGAGTTGGGTCGATCCACATAGAATGATGGTATCTATGGGAATGGGGCCAAAGGAAGGTCAACCTAACCTGACTGTAAATCCACCTTAAAACCAGTATGAGTACCAATTATCACCTGGGAGATCAACGGCCACAGCTCTATAGCCTAAGGCAGCAGTTATCTGCAGTGTCCCAATGTCATTCCAGTCCTTGGAACTGAACCTCATGCCATGGAGGAAAAGGACTGACAGCTTGGCAGTGCCTTCTGGGATAGCCTCACGATAAAACACCTTCGCTTCCTACAACACAACAGAACATATATTGATCTTTACTTTATAAAACATTTTCTTTATGAAAGGTAAAAAACCAATAAGGATGATCAAAAGAAAACAAAATCTTGTATTTGATGGATTTTTCCTCTGCTTGACTAAAATAAATTCAATGTTATACAATGTTTACATCATACATGTAAGTATATTGTTAATTGTATGCTTGACATATTAAACAGAGTAAAATTTATCTACATATATATTGAGAGTCAAAATCCACACTTATGCTAGCTAGAATATTAGTTAGAAAACTAATACCAAGAAAATCTATACTGTACGTGACACTCAGTTAAACCTGCTGTGAAGGCCATTGTTATAAAATGTAATTTGACACCATCCTACTCTCACCTTGTCTCCAACCCTGACTGTCATGGTCCTGGTGTCAACTGTGACAGTTCTGGATTTGTCCAAAGCCTCTTGTGGTACACTCTCAAATTCCCTCCCTGTCTTCCAGGTTGCATGTGGATCCACCATCTTCTTAGATCTCCCAAAATACAGGTACAGTATGAGCGCAAGGGTCAGCAATAGACAAATTGCCACCAGTCTGTTGAATTTCATATCAAGTAAGCCACTCTTTGGCCTAGACATGGGGAGCTAGAAGGACAGGTAAGATATTCCAGTGTTTGCATACTGATATAATACCAGTCTAATCTTAGTGACCTTGTGTCAAGTGAAATGAGGTCAGTATGTCACGGTGAATGTGTCTGTGGACTGTATCTTGAGAAAAAGTGAGTGAAATGCAAATGCTATATTAAGGAGATGACATTAGCACACATCTAACTATTTCTAACCAAGCCTTCTTCCTAAACATTGACAGGCCAGTAAACACAAGAAAGGGCCTTTAAAAAGCAGTAGTACAGTAACTTGGAAGGCATTTGTGGAAATTATATAGAACAACAACAACAATAATAATAATATTAACTTAAGTCCATTTCAGCTGAATCATGTATTTTTAAAAATCTATTTTCATCATTTTTCAGGACAGAGAAAATTTAAATTGTAGCTTGGCCAGGAACATACAGTTAACTACAAAAAAAAAAAAAAAAACAAAAAAAAAAACAGCCACCAAAGTTAAATGATGATAAAAACAGAGACATCAGCTTTCAAAACTTTGCTTGCACCACACACCTTTTCTACTGTGACAGCCTCCAGGATGAAACACCAGATGCACTAGTACTCAGTTCTATTCTACAGGTATGTATGTATTGACAAACAACAGTGTGACATCCTATAGATAAAAGAAGTATAATTCAAGTTTCAATACACAAAGCCACACTGACTGGTATCTTTATGGTTTATGGTAATCAAATGTATTACCACAACGGCATATGATATTGTTGAATTGTTGATTCACAGATTAATCAAAGCAATAAATAGTAAACTGGAAAACGAGCTTTCAGGTCTTTTATTATCAATTCAAATTTTAATTTTAATTTTTAGTTAAAACTAAGAAACCAACCTTTTTGTATATTTAAATACCCCTAAAATAATGTGTTTTCTGGCTATAAATGCCATTTCCCTATGCAAGTATAAGACAATCAGTAACCAAGCACTATCATATATAAAATGCTGAAAAATGTACCGGTACCATTCAACTTACTAGTCACATGCAGTGAGACCCTGGCCAATTTGATATTGAAGATTCTCACACCTATATGCTGATCCAATTTACTTGGACTTACAGTATTCTAATACTGAGGCCTGCATACACTTAACAGTTTTACAGAATTAGTCACAATATATGCCATGCCTTTCCTGAGCAATATGCCCACATATTTAGTTTGAAGTTAATAAAATATGTATATAAATATGTTCACACATTCACATTGCCTGGCACTATATATAAATATACTCTGTATGCAGCAGTAAGGTTCAAAATTCAGTCCAAAGGGCCATGTGTAAGATAACTTTTATGCTCTTTAAATTAAGCTTTTAATAATAATAATAATAATATACTATAATTCAGCTACCTTGTTTTCCACTATAAAGTATATTAATTGAAGCAATATATATATATTTAAATTGTGGGAAAAGGACCACTGTTGTTACACTCTTCTTTATTATATTATGATTGATTTGCGTAATTTTTATTAGGGAGTTAATTGAGCTGTGTTATAAATGTAGATCATTAAGTTGTGCCATCCAGTTTTTGCAATAACAACACATGATACAGGTGAACGTACGTTATCAACTTTTAATTGGAAACCAAAAAAATGGGGAGACAGTTCAAAATAAATTGTGATTTTGGTCAGTTAGATACCAGCCATCGCCAATTAAGTATATTTATTTAAAAGTAGTGCTTGTAAGAGGGATGAACACATAAAAACGAATCAATCGACTGCACAGGTAACACGTTAACTCACCTGTAGGAACTTTCTCCCGGCAAGATCATTGCGCATGTACAGTCGGATGTTTACACCGGAAATATGTTTATAGCAAAAAGAGAGAATACATAAAAGGCACGAGGGAACGAGCAAACGTTGTTAAACACTATCAAGCGTTCTCGTTGCCAAGATTTTTTTAAATTTTGTTTCCAATATTTTACATTCTTGTGACCACGAATATATTTTAGATAGTTTTCTGACTCTGACGTCTGTACATGAAATATGCCATTCCACTCTTCAGCAGCCAAGGAGTCTTGGCGTCTCTGGGGAAGGAAAGCATGCGTCCGCTGTCAAGTACATAATATAACGATTTTACGAGTACATTATATCGTACCACTGAATTATTATAAGACCAAACTCCATCTCTCAAAAAAGTTGAACAACCTCAGGACCTACCAACCATCTACACTGAGCAAACTTCGAAAATAACACTCGGTACCAGATGAGTAAGATCGACATTTTGATTTCAGAAGAGACTGGGGTCCTTGTAGAAGATGACATTAACAATGAAAACCTGAGTGCAAATCCGAGTGAAGCAGGAGATGGAGAGAAAAGGGCCGAAGGATCTCTTTTCGATCCTCCTTTATACAGGCAAAGATATCTTGCCGTCGCCGAAATCCTTAGAAACAGGGACATAAAAAAGGTACTAGTACATGTACTTAAAAAATTAACGATATTTTTGTTGCATTATACCCTCACTTAGTATTAGTCTTGGATTTTTTTTTACAAAACTCACCTATGTGGTGATTATGATCAGTGTCTCCGCCTCTCACACGGCTCCCCATTCGTCGTCCCTCAACCGGCTGAATTGAGCCGAGATTTAATCACTGTGCCCCTGAAGGGACAACGCGTGAGGAGGCGTGTGAGAGACGGAGAGACCATTACAGGATTAAGTGGTCTTCCTTTCATGTACGTCCGCCATATTTAGGTTGTGGCCTAGCTAGCCTTCTGCTCTTCTCATTCTGAATGGCCTCTTAAATATTTTCAGGTTCTTGACATTGGGTGTGCAGAATGTAAATTTCTGAGACATTTGAAGAACAGTGTGCCATCGCTGGAGTCCATAGCTGGTCTTGATATAGACAGAGGTATTCTTATCTCAGACAAATAGCATTTAAATTTTTTTTTTGGATTGGATAGAGGAAACTTGGTGTCATGCATTTTGGGTATCCTCACATTTTTAAATAAATGTACATGTAGTACCTGCATGTTTTATATTCTAAAATTGTCTTTAATTCATTGCTGTTGCATTATAGCAGTTGTATGTAACATTTCTGCTAATTGTATGTAACATTACTGCCAATTGTATGTAAATCTGAATTGTAATAAACAGCTAAGTGCTGTTCTTTTGATTTTGAGCAACACTATTCATCAGAAAGAATATAACGGGCAGCTTAGCCTTTTTAAGGATACAGTCTTTAAAATTCAAATACTTGAGATGTATAGCAAAAAATGTTTTAGAGTAAGAATGCCAAATTAGTAGGAACTTTTCTGACTCTTTGATAATAATTGTTACTATTTATGATTTTGCAGCATTACTGGAACAAAACAGATACATAATGAAGCCATGTTTGAGAGATTATGTTCATAAGAGGCCAACACCACTCAAGACAAGCCTGTTCTGTGGCAGTATTGGAGCATATGACAGTAGATTACTGGAGTTTGAAGCAATGATATTAATTGAGGTGTAAGTTAACGGGGAAATTAACTGTTCGTTTTGGCCAAAAAATGAATTAAACAACAATTTTCCCATACTTACCAATGGTTAACGAATCCATTTCTACATTCAAAGTTAGTCCCTGTTTTTTTTCTTAAAAGTTTAGTTTTATGTTATAATCTCTTAAGAGATTATTACAGAGTATAGCCATCTATAGAAGTCACATGGTCTGATGACAAGCTCAGATATCAGAATAATAGCTATAACTGCCGTTTTTGTGGTAAAACAGAATATATTATATTTCTACGAGTTGCTTACAATGTTTTTATTGTGAAATATAGATCTCATACAATGAGGTATTATCCCTTAAAGCAAAGAAAATAAACAAATCCTATAAGCAGAAGTCTGTTTACTTAGGCTGCATAATTTACAGACTGATTGGGATGACATTACTTACTGTAACAGTTGTACTCTCTGTGTGATTGTGCTTCCTAGACTTCTGCACTGCTGCCTCCTGTACGCATCTGAAACCAGGGGTGGTTTCCCTCCTCACTTTTAACTTCTAGTTTGGAGCCAGCAGTGACACTAAATTTTGCAAATGTTAAATAACCATCTGATTTTTAAAATATTTACATTTTAGCATAGAACATCTTGAGTCAGACACTTTGGAAAGATCAACAGAGGTAATATTTAACCAGGTTAAGCCAGCGCTTGTTGTCATGACAACCCCAAACGCTGAGTTCAACGTACTGTTCCCAGACTTCTCTGGTATGAGGCACTGGGATCACAAGTTTGAGTGGACAAGACAGGAGTTCAACTCATGGTAACTTGGACTTTCTTCCAGGTGTTTGTTAAATTGAATCTTTTTATATCCCGGTTGATATGTGGCTTTATAGGTATGAAAATGTATGAGGCAAAAAACCAGGTAGTAGTGCCTGCGTGTGAATTTGATAATACTTCGTCAAAAGTACTGCAGTGAATATGTGACTTTTCATCATTTGAAGATTTCTTTCCTTTTGTGTAGACAGGATAGTATAGAAAATGTTCAAAGCCGGAAAATTGGGGGAAAAGTTATGGCAGTAATTTTATAAGCTGTTTCTCTCTGTGTGTCAGTTTCTGTGTCCACAATTGAATATTATCTTAAAATATAGACAAAATTTTATATTTTAAGTAATTGTTTAGGAATATTTCTATTTTTTTTTTGCCTTGATCTGTTTTTGTGTTGAATTATGCTTATAAATGAGTAGTTACATTCTGCAACAAAACAATTCCTTATATTGATGACATCCCCTGTTAGATCTTCAAATAATTTTTGTTGCACTTCAGGTGTCTCAATCTGGCTCGTTTACATGGATACACAGTGGAGTTTGGTGGTGTTGGTGAGCCACCAGAGGGAACTGATGTAGGCTTTTGTTCTCAGCTGGCAATATTTGAGAGACTGGCCCATAGCAAGCCTGGTGCACATGATATTGAAGATATTCAGTGTTATAGCATTGTAAGTTAGTTTGGGAAACAAATATATTGGATAGGTAGTATTCTGCATATCAACTTGAAAAGATTTCAAGTTTTATTTTTCTACTTTTATTATGATATGGCCTCTTGATGTTTGAAAAATAGAAAAACTTACTGGCATAGAAATAGAAACAGAGGTTGACTGAATTATTTACTGCTAGTTGTAATGTGTAACGTTCCTAAAAGGTTAACTTTTTGTTGTTAATGATAAACCTCTTTGGGATATCAATGCTTAAACATTTTCCATGCATTGTGTCATTTTACACGATGATTTTTTGTTTAGATAGCAGAGCATGTTTTCCCATACAAACAACCCGAGGGCAGTATAGAGGAGCAGATTCTGGCTGCAGCCACAAAGCGTATCCAAGAATTGGCATATTCCAATGTACTTTATCAGAGACAGCATGGAGATGATGCAGATGAATATATCTTAGGAGATAGAGGGTAGGTTATATTTTTAGATAACACAATTTTATTGTCTGCTTGGTCTCAGTTTATCTGAAAGAATTTTCATGTGATTAGGCTATAAAGGATGTGTTCTTTAGATATTACATGCGTCTGAGAATGGAGAGGCATTCTTTTTCAAATTACTATCAACTTTGGGAACAGAGGATGTGTCATCATTCTGCTTTGGCAGCAATATTTACCTAAAGATTTAGACAGAAACTCAACTGAAGCATGCTAAATTAGGTACATGAAAAAGAAACTTGCTGTTTTTACAAATGGTTGAAATTGTACCAGAAATTTGTGACTGACAACACTACCAGACTAGCAGATTTATTAGATCAGTGACTGTCTTAATTCATTGATCAGATTGCATTTTATTAGGAACCTGACCTATTAGGCCTTATTATTTTTACATCACTTAACTGATATTGATAAGAGATGGTCCATTTCTGAACGCCTATCGTTTTAACACAAAAAAGTGAAGCAAACAGCTGGAATTAGACAATACTGAAATGTGCTGAATTTGGGTGTTTTGCACCGATATCAATTTATCATTTTATCTCTATTTTATGGTCCCAGGCCAGTAACTGTGCAGGTGCCTTTGGATGCTGTGGCCAGGTTCACAGATGTCAAACATTTGTGTGGAGGAGACATGGGCATTTTAAGGTAAAAGATTTCCAATATACTGATGTATTGAAGTGTTCTTTTTCTTTAAGTTGAAAAAATTCTCCCAATATCATGCTGTAAAAGTACTTTTAAGCTTGTTGGGTTGTCCACATGACTAAATTAGGTCTTGCTCTTAGTTGAGGCAATGTGTCTTGATCCAACCCATCTCACTAGGCCCTCTGATAACAATAATTCCACCACAGCCAACGTATCTAACCTGACTGGAAACAACTTAAACTAATGAAAATAAAAATGAATAAAATTAAAAGAAATACAGAAGTGATGTGATTTGAGACATGTTTTCCACATGATAGAATTTATATTCCATTTACTTGGGAATATTTTCAAATGATAGTTTCTTTTCTTTTTACAGGGATGTTCTTGAAGGAGCAGACGTAAGTCTAAATGCTACAGAGACGGCAGTAACACACACCCTGAATCTAGAGGATTACTTCTGTTATTCAGACACCGAGAGCTCTGTGTCATCTCACAGTGACTCATGCATAGAGGACAACATAGGTGTTGGGAACTCTAACACTGTAGATAACCAGTGCTCCTCCAACCCGACTTGGGACTCACAGTATCAGCAGAATCAGTGTAATTGGGAAGAAGATTGGGATGCTGATACTGCCTCAGCAACAGTTGCAGCACAAGAAGACAGTAAAGGTGCTTACACGAAATGGAAAGACGGAGAATGGGGATTACTTGAAACCTGGGATGATGATGATGATGATGATGGCGATGGTTTAAATGAAAATTGCTCAGGTGTAACTTCTAGATATACCACGACTTGTAAGAAGAATGACTGGTATGAATCTACAGAAGACCAGGGTGTTAATCTCAACTCAACAGAAGGAATCCAGGGTAATAAAATTCCTGGCAATAATTTTTTTAACTGTTCTAGAGAACTGATTGAAGTTACTGATGATGATGAGAATTGGTATTGCGCTGTGGACCAGGTTCAGACTGCCCCAGCCTATAGATTATTTTCCAAGAAAAACAGCCCAGATGGCCTAGCCCACCTTGTGGAATGCTGCTGGCCAGGCTGTGATTCTCAGGGCGCCATAGATAGGAAGATTGAAGCTGTGAGATGGGGCAGTGACATAGGAAGCCTGTGTGATGCATGCAAACTTGTTTTAACATCAAGCGTCTCTACTCACACTGGTAATTTCTTTAATACTCCTGCATCTCAAATAAAAGATGATATTTAAATACTCCTGATGGAACATTTGAATAAAGTTACTGCATCAGTACAGGAACCCATTTAGGCATTCACTTTTAGTGTCAAAGTAACACTCCAGGTTGGTCACATTCAGAGTAACTTTTTAACAATCAAATTTTGGAGGGGCTAGTTATTGGTGCAATACTTAAAATGGATTATGCTTGCACTTTCAATTTTTTTTTTCTCAACATAATTCATTCGTACTCAATAATTCATTCATACTCAATACTTCATGCAACATAGTCTTTCACATCAGTTTTAAATATATATTTAACGATTTGATTTATCTTCATCTGTTAACATTATATACCTTTGTGCAGTCATGAGTTGCAGAAGTTTTTCAGAACAGTACTTGGAAGGTAATCTTTTAAACATGGCAACTGCAAGTCATATTGTTAATAAGAAATAGGCTTTGTTTTGACACAAAAACGCCTTTATGTTGCTGACAGTTAGAAGTAATCCACGGGTGTAGATTAATGAGTGAGAGGTAAAACAAGTGAAGTATTGGATTTTTAATATAGTCAGTGTGTTGGTGATGACAGCGGACTTGATAAAACTAAATGCCAACAGTAGAAGCACTGCAAACGGGCAGTGTTCAGTTCATGTGGTCTCTTACTTAGATCAGGGAATTATACTATTGTCAACGAAACAATTTCCTGCTTTGGTGTTTTCTTTTTATATAGGATGTAAAGTTTACCCATGCAGGGTCAGCATGAATTAAAATTAACAATCTTCAATGCTTGTCCATTTGATGAGTTGTTTCTAGTTTTTTTCAATGCCAGAATCTGCATTTGATCAAAGTAGCATTAGTATCTATGTAAGGAAGTGTTGAATGCTCTTTGAAATCAAAATTTCGTTTTTCTACACCAAGCCTTTATCCAATTTATCATGTTTTTAACCAATAACTCCAGAAAGTGTTCAAAATGATCCAAGTCCCAACTATAAATTCAACTAAAAGCAAAGCAACATTTATTTGAAATGTTTCAGAAAAATACAATATTTCTCTATCAATATATTACATACAAATAATGTACTACATGTATAAATCATTGTTATTTTATGAAAATTGTTATGATAACAGTAATTTCTATTAAAAATCTACATATGCCAGGTAAGGTCTCATTCAAAGGCCACATCTTAAATATCTAAATTATTGATACATTTAAATTCCAAGATAAGTGACAATGAATAGATGGTACACTGATCAGTTTGCTATATACTTTTTATATCGACTTTTATCGGCTTCTGAGATTCTGTATTTAGTTTGGAAAAAAGGCACAAAAAAGTTTAGCCTGTTAATCTAAAGAGGCACCATGAAGATATACCTTCTACTAAAGCACATTTTAAAACAATTTATATCACAAACAAAAAGAATATTCCGCTTTGTTATGCAGCTTTGAACTATTACTTTACAACCATCAAATTAATTGTGAACCAAAAAGCAAAGTTCAGAAATAAAGTTGGAAAAATTGTCCTATGTACAGAAAAAAATAAAATAAAAATAACATATTTTAATTAATAAGAAAAAAAATTAAATTTAAGAGACTGAATATTTCACTTGCATATTTCCATATGTAAGTGGTACAAAAACTTCAGATTTCTACTTTTAATTGAAATAATTATAATAAATGAAAAAAAAAAATTATGATTTCAAGGTCAGTTGGGAAAAGAACTTCATCAATTTTGTGTTGGCAAATATATCCCAAAATATTCTCATTAAAATATGTACTCTCATGAAAGAATCCTGAAGCCAACAAGTCACTTTTTATACTTTCTTTAAAAGGAGAGGGGGGGGGAGTATAATTATACAACTGTTATGGGGAAAGTACAATAGTTGAAATTCCGTACCACTGCAAAAATGAAGTAACTCAGAATATAAGTGAAGGCTAGATGAGGTATAAATATTTCTAAAACCAGATTTAACTCATTTTGTCATAGACATTTGTCCCCACTGTGCTTCTTTACATTCTCATCTCGTATAAAAGTCAAGAACGCTTTCAGGGTATCACTGATGCAATAATAATATAATATTAAGTGGGGGCTGCCTGATTTTTCTGAAAACAAAGAGTTTCACCTGGTTTGGAAGGTTTATACTAAAAATCTGTTTTAAGGTCTTGAGGACCAATTTGCCATAATATAAGTACAATACTGTTTGTTCCCTTTGGTATATATATATATATATAGAATTACACAGCAATAAATCCAAGCAAATAAACAGCACTTTTTACAAATATCATCTTAATGATCTTCATAAGACATGGACATACCAGTCAAGAAAAGGAGCATGAAATTTATGTTGCAAATAAGTGATTTCAGATAATTTAAAACCCCTGTCAAAAAAAAAAAAAAAAAAAAAAAAATGCAATACCTATTTGAAATATGCAAGTTCCTTTGAAGGCTGAAAATCATCTGAAGTTAATTTAACTCTCAAGTAAAAATTCACTGAGATAAAAAATGCCATGTTGAAGACAGCCACTTTACTAAGACAAAGCCACAAGACAAAATTTTAGGTGTCTCCTTGTAATAGTATCCGTGTACAATTAAAATTAAGCCAACTGAAAATTTTCAGAAAAGGTATACATTTTTATAGAGTCTAATGTATGCCCAAGATATAAACTGTTAATTTCACCATGAATAAATTTGAAAAGATTTGTGTCTTGTTATGAACACTTAATTTATGGAAATGTGTCTCTCTTAAAGTAGTATAAAACATAACAGAACAATCCATTAATGTGAATTTTGCATGTCCACTTACTTTAAACAGCACCAATAACATTTATCTTAAAAAATTAAAAAAAAGAGGACTAGAACACGTAGTAAAATATATATATAAATTGTTACACTAATGTACCCTACAGCTATCCACTACTTAAATTTAAGTAACCTTTTTCAAAAATTCTAGTAGGTACATAATCTTTCATAATGACTAGGCTAGATACAGATAAGACAGTTATTCAACTATTTCAATACTCTATCTGTCTCACCCATTCAGTTTTCAGGCACCAATAGGTAAAACTGTTTACTTTATGTGGAAGGGGTAATGAATCCCATTATTATTTGACAAACCGATGAATTAAACTGTCCATTACCCTTGAAAGAACAGGCTGATATCATGCAAGGCCTTCATGGCAACCGTGACAAAATTAGTATTTAACTGATATTGGAAGTAGAAGGGATAAATTATTTGAGAGATCAAGAAGGATTAAACCTAAAACAAACAAAAGGGATTGTCTTAAACTTTTAAGTTTAACTTACATATTCATGTAAAAAACACTGCCAAAAGTAAGAAAAATTCGTTTACAGTTATATTGAAAAGGAAATCTTTAAAAATATTGTTCATTTCCACTTTATATTCAACAAGAAAACTTCATCACTGACTGTCTTTTTGATTGACCACACAAAAAAGTATTCTTATAATGAAGGTACCATTCTGGATGGCATTCATTGGTTCAATATCAATAATGAACCAACAATATCAGCACCAGCTAACTTCTTGGAAGCATTTTGCAAATTGGCCAAATCCACACACACATCCACCCTCCCCAAGGTTAAAATGATATGTGCTGCTTAAAATACTTCTGACTAGCGTGTTGCAAGATCATGCAACATATCAACATACTGCTCTAAAACTAATGGTTTTGTCTTTAACTTTTGATTTAATCTTCCATAACAAAGTGACTTAAAACATGATGGATTGGCCTTTGATTTTTTGAGCAACAAGGAAAAACTAGGACCAACAATATTTCATAAAATGTTCAGGATGTACTATTCTGGGGTTTTCTGCTTGTTTTCAAGAAAAATGTGACTACATATTTGCATAAAGTAATTCCCTTTTTCTGTCTAGAGTATAGGGGCAGAGTAACATGTTACATGGAAGAAAATAATCCACATTAAACATCTACACATTCAAACAAATTTCTTAAATAAAGAACAGCTCATATACATACACACATGTAAAGAACTGCATAAAAATCCAACATATTCTTGAGACAGTTCACATAAGTTCTTCAGCCATTCTTCTTTCACAGTGATGATGGCCTTGAACTTTGACATTGAGGACAGTGACCTGGACTTTCTTAGACCTTAGGCCTTTTGTTGGATGGCTCCTCATCATGGTAACTGCCATCTCCAGAATTGCTGTTCAAATCGTGAATGTTTGGGAAACTATTGCTGTCCTCCCCTCCGGGTGAAGTCGTTCGACTACCTCCATCTCTTGAACCCTAAAAAGAAACGTGATGTGACCTTCAATCCTTTTGGTTCATTTTCAGTTTGCCATGACATGCAAAATCAGTTGCTTACTTGCTTTTCTTTTTTTATTACAAGAAGCACAAATTCCATACAGTGCAATTTTGGCAACCAAATGTGTTTGAGAAACCAAACATTTCATGCATTAAAATCTCAAAAGTGAATGATGCACTTCAGCAAAAATAATAAACCCTTTTCCCACAAAAATCCTAAAAAATTTGTTCAACAGATCTGCTTCTAGCTTGAAAGCTTTCAAACCATGCACTGGTGATAAAAAACAGAATTTTGTGTTGATGATGAAAATGGCATGCCTGATGATTACTTGGATTTATTTCCATCACATCACATTTCTTTATATTATGGATTGATTTTTTTTTTATCTGCATGCAGACATGTAAGAAGTGAAGGTTTAAGCCAACAGAGGAAAAAAAGGCTTGGGGCAAAGGTCGAGGTCATATGCAAAAATGTGCAAGGCGGGATAAAATTAAGTTTGAATGGATTATAATAATTTGTTACATTCTGTTAGTCTGAAGTGCAAACTCTAAGCAGATCTGTGAACAATTAGTATAAATTATGAAACAAGGATAATTGAAATAAGAAAAAAGGTTTGCAATAGTGTGATTACTGAAACGAAAAGAGCTAACATACACAAAGTAGACATTGAGGGTGCATTGTGATAAATCAATAAATAAAGCAAACAAATAACAAAAGCAAATAAAAGTGTTGAAGGTTAGTGAAGGTAGGTACATATATAAAGGTGATAAAAATCATTCAATAATTTGTGTATATCATTTAATTTATTTCTAGTTCCATGAGGGCATGAAACTTACAATACATATTATTACATACATACAACTCTAATGTAACATTAAGGGAAAGAATACTTTCTCTTTATAAGCAGATATTACAGTCAGTGGTTACAAAATGAAAAGGTCATTTATACATATTTTTTTTTGCATGCCATATGAAACTATAATGCTTACATAATCAATTCTGGGTTAAATCACCAAAAACTGACTCGCATATAATTGTAGTTGCTACGTTGTCACTGTCATTATCCACACTTTAAATAAAATGTGTTGTATAACACATGCAAAAAGTTTACAAAAGTGATAATGAAAACTGGTTACACTTGTAAAATATTTTTTATGACAGTAAGACCAGTTGCTGACAGTTTACTTCAACAGAAATGAGATTTTCTAAAATCCTGCACATTGTACTAAGGTGCTGTATGGTATTTCTAACATATGATTCATACAGAATAAATCTAAAAATGCCTTAACCATGATCTGACTATAAAAACATGTTCAGCTAAATATGAGACGCTCCACAGTGTTAGTAAATTACTATAAATGATCATAAAGACAAAATCAGTGTAAAACAATAGAACACATTTAACAAAATTGACATCACAAAATTCATGACTTTGACATGAATACCCAAATATACCCTAAGTTAATTACATCTCTTAAGAAAGACTGAGATGATAATTTCACAAATGGTTTGTTTCTTTTGAGAAATGTCCACATAATATGTTGTCACTTGGACAAAACTTGGTCTCAACTTCTGAAATTTTTGTTCTTTAATCCCAGCTAAAACTTTTTGTAGTGAAGACCCAAAATGCCCATTTAGGAAAACCAAGATTTATCTAAGGTCAAATCAGGTTAAAATATTAAGAAAAAAAAAATGAGCTCAACTTTTAATTCAACTTCTTTTGTGCAACCAAAACCCGGGCTTTAAAAACCAGTTTTCACAAAGTCTGTCCAACACAGCAAGCTACAAGCCTTTTACTCTTTGGTCTTTTTTATAAAGGATTTTTCATAAGAAATGTTGAGTAATTATTATATGAACTAAGGTAACATCTTGAAAACTAGAGTTGATTTATGTTTGCTTGCTTTGTCAGTAGCTCACTGAATGGACCAAGGCTTAGATATACATGTGAAGTATCAATTTAACTGATATCACTATATATTCAAAACCCACTCACTTGTTTATAAAGTTACAAATGCTGTAGGACAAAAACCTAACTTCAGAAAATAATACTTAACCAAAAAATATCAACACTTTCAAAAATATAACACTACAGTTTAGAACTGACTTAATACACATAAGACTTCCTTCAAGTTGAATTTACATTTACAGTTTAGGGGCACTTCTGTTCGCCACTCAAAAACATTAATTTACGAAACAGCACTGAATAGTTTCAAGGGCAAGAAATATAGGCGCAGTCACACTTAGGTCTTTAATCAAACTTGTAGTTTAACTCTTTACATCAAAAACTTTGCAGTGACAAAGTAATTAATGGTATAATTAAGGTACCAGTCTTGTACCCGTACCTTTATGTTGGGACACTAACAAAGTATCTACAAACAAGTTATATAATCATATCCATCAATTCGTTTTCTCTTTCTCTCTCTCTACCAGATGGCATCTTGCTTTTAACAAAAATGTACGATAAAATATTGCCCTTAGTTTGAAACATTACACCACTTAAACTCACTAATTCTACAAAAAGAAACCACTTCCTTTTCAAAGGCAAAACAACAACTGGTATTGTAAAATCTACCTCATTTTGGTATGACCATGTTTTACAAAAATAATTCTTCTCAAGTTTTAAAAAGGCAATGACTAAGAGTTCTTGTTTTTGATGATGTCTCTGGGAGGCAAAACATGTACCTGTAAAAACATTTTTGGTACACAATATCATAAATGTTTGTAAAGTCTTTCAAAAAGAAGCAGCAGTAAGTTTCCTGAGAAATGATACATTTCTTTTTGAATTACCCACTGTTATACCCTGAAAGTATGGTTTTCTATCAATTGTCATTTTACAAACATTGCAGGAAGGAAAACAAGATCCTACAAACAGTTCGATAGTACTGTTGGCTTTATCCACTGGACTGGTGTTTTACTTGTGTAAGTTGTGTTATTTATGAAGAAAGTTTCTTCAGTCAAGCCAAGAGGAAACGGATTCTTAAATAGGTCACTACTGATGCAAAAATCCTGTTGTTTTTTACTTGCTTAGCAAACCATGCATGTTTTGGTATTGTGCTTGCCATCTTCTATAATTCTTGCTCCTCCCTTAACAATGGAGTTTGAATATGATTTTATATTTTTACTTCTCCTGCATGACCACATCCTCTCCAGCAAATCTATGAAGCCAATAATTGCCTCAGGTGCATAATTATGGAGTCTTTACTGCCTACATTACTTAACTTGCAACATTAACTTGGAGAGCATTCACATCGAGAAGAGCTGCCATATTTAGGTCTCGGCCTTGCTAGACCTCTGCTCTTCTCGATGTGAATGCTCTCTTGAAAAAAAATGTTATCAGACAAATGTTATCCAGTGACAACAGATAAACACTGACATTGTTTAACAGAACAGAAGTGTTTAACAGAACAGATTTCTGACATAAATGCTTTTTTTAATTTTGAACAACCCAGGTTATCATCAATTTGCTTGTTCCTTATTACTTTCATGTAAGAAGTCGCTGTTTTCATAAGCTGATTGCCAGAACAAAAGTCTGGCCTGTGACCAGAAGCAAGAGTTCCACATTTGTTTTTCCAGTTTTCTACAAATGTTTGAGGAGCTTCTATTCCATGGTCCCACAAGTTTTCTGTCATCTAAGCTGCAAACACTGTATCCATCTGATGCAATCTGTCCAATACACTTATGTAATTTCTACTATGAATTATTTTTGAATCATGAGACATTCTCAGTAAAGAGTAAGTTTAGAAAACATAATTGCAGATGTTGGGAATAAGTAAATCTACAACTAAGGCTGCATTACTGGATCTCGAGATACACATGAGAATTGTTAAATATCAAAATACCCAGCTGAGTAAATACTTCTTTGCCTGGTGTTAAATTTAACAACTTTCCACTATAAAATTTCCTCCACTAACATAACTGTAATAAAACTACATGGGAACACTTAAAATGATATACACTACCCCTTTAAGGGTCCAGTAAACTGCATTGGCAGTTTTATAGCTCTAACTGGCATATTAAACAAAAGAAGAGTCAACCCCTCAGAGGTCTATTCTCAAAATATTACAACAAATATTTCACTTCCAAAATATCATGCAAAGCCTCAAACAGGCAAGTTCACAATTTCACCTGTAGATGGCACTGTTCAGTAAGTGGTCACAAGATGAGAACTGAAACTTTTGTGACCAAACAATCTGAAATGTGCCATGCATGGGTGACAGAGACATTTTGTAAATATCTATTCCATAAAAAGAATTTCACACAATGCTTTAGAGAGACATTATGTCAACATCTCACTTATAGAAGTCTTTTTAAAGTCTACCCAGTACTGACATCCCCTCACGTGTAACCTACCATATCAGGGGGGCTACTACTGGTGTGGTGACCATACCCACGATGCATGCCTGACACCTGGTGGAGAAAATAAAAACTAAAGTACAGGGTAGAGAAACAGGAAAATAACACCTTTGAACAGCAGAGGCTAGGTTTTAAAACACTCTCATAATTAATGCTTTGAAAGGTGTTCAATTTTCAAGCACTTCAGTTTTGAAGACAAATTCAAAATTGCAATTTGAAATGTGGATAAAAGACAAACATGTCTAAGCCATACTTTTTTTCAGAAGATTACAATAACATGGCCCAACTTGTTATATATAGAATTCTGAGTTTATCTTGTCATATCGTAAAAGTTTACAACAGAACTGATATCAAGTTCTTTTTTAATCTATTTGTAAAAATCAAGAATATAAGCTTATTGCTAAAGTTTGCAATACTCTTGGGCAGAACAGTTATCACTGCTTACAATCTGCACTATGTGGGTTTCTGAATAAGTGTCTGGCATCTCATCATTTTCATCTAAGAGACCATTCCCAGAGACTATCGTACTAACTTTGGATCGCACAATCTCCGAGTGGATTCTCGCTTAATTGCAATTACCTTGGTCAGCTTAGATGTCTGTCATGCCTGCTGAGGCTGATAAGGAGGTAATTAACTATCGTTAAGCAGCTTTAGTGGCCGACCCAGACATCTAAGCCGCTTGGGCTGAAAGCAATTTTGCGAGGGACCCTGTGGAGATGGACCAATCCTGTTAGATCGATGTAGGGCTGGGAACCCAGTCTTATTTTCTTTTTTTTTATAAAGGTGTTAGAGAGAGATTCAAGGAACAAGTTCTTAAAGTGTTCAAAACAGAATTTCAATATGGCAGTAACCCACAGCTGGCAAAGCAAGTAAGTTTTCAAATGAATTCTGACAATCATGAAAAAATGTACTTATAAAATACCTGTAATTAAAGTGTCTCTTCTTTTTCAAGTGAGTTTACGATGTGCATGGACAGTAGTAAGAAAGTTTGCTTCATAGAAATTGACCTATGGAAACAATGCTCTTGTGACACACTGCAGAACACAAATAAAGACACAAGGGTCTCTTCTTGAAAAAAGCTTTAGTGTAAACAACCAGTGGGAATGTCAGGTCACGCAAAGTGGACAGGCATAAATGATTTCGAGTCAAGTCACACAGGGAGACAGTAGAAAGTTTTTAGGCAGAGATATTCTGATGTTAAACCGAATGATGGCTCAGTTGTGATTATTGAAACACACACAGAAAAGGAAGCCACAGTTGCTTCTTCAGTGATTAATTTGAAGGAGAAAATTACAATTCATATTTGCAACACAGTATCTGAAGAAAAGGTGATTTTCTTTTCTTATGTGGTTTTAAACCATACATTATGATTTCTTAAGTAAAAAAAATATCCAAAATCATTTTGATAATGTAATCAGAACAGTTTTAACTACAGTATGGTTTACTGATACCATATCAGAGAAAACCATAGTACATAAGTTTACATCAGTTCAGATACCGTTTGTCGAAACTATAATTTGAGTGGAAAATTAGTACTTTGCACCTCACTACAAAGAAGGGAAAAAAAAAATCAGAGATTGAACCAGTCACAAAAAAGTCACCTTCTGGCCCTCTCACAACCACAATACCATATACAATATCTAACCACTGTATTCATATCCAGAGGTTCTCATTTTGAATCAAAAGTGCCCTGCGTTCACTCTTGGTGCTTTTTACACTGCCTGCAGTGACAAACTGAACATAGATGGCAGCACTTGCCTGTCTAGGCAGCACATGATACAACTGGTTTCTATAGTTACTGTACCTGCATGTCATAGGAGGTACTGTCTTGATATCCCCCTGTCTGATTAATGACATGACGCAAGGAGTTCACCTACGGAAGAGAATAAACGCTTCACTTTAGTGGGAGGGTGGGACTTTGATGGAGGTTAAAAATGTAAAAGTACAAAAATTAGGGAAGAATTTTTCAAGGGTCCCTTACTTTTACGGAGACAAATTTGATGTAACATAATACTGATTCTGTCAGCATTTAATGCATACTTCATGTGGAAAACATTTTCTGCCTATTCTAAAGCTCGGAGTTAAAATTTTCTATTTAGTAATCGAAATGACTCTCTAAACAGGAATGAAAACAAAGTATATGGGATTGGTGAAAGAAAATGTTGTCTAAAAGGAATGACAAAAAATCCTGGAACGCCTACAGTAATCAGCCATTACTCTTAACTTCATCATCTCCATTATTGTGGAAATTTGATTTTCAAATTTTTTGTTCAAATATTTATGCAACTGTTCCCAAAACAATCTTTTGTATAATATGATAACTCTGCAAAAAAAATTCTGCTAAAGCAACCATAATTACCTTCTCTAGACAGGCTATGTCACTAAAAAGTCACAATCAGAGCATTGTTTCCATAGTGATAATTGTCAGCATATCACTCTACATATATTACATAATAATAACAATAATAAAATCTGTGTTGATTGCTGCTCACTGAACTGAAAATCTCTTTCTAAAATTGATGGAATAACTTTAAACTTCTATTGTGTATACAGAATTTCAAACCAGAGTCACCTGAGATTTGCAAAGACAGCTAGAATAAAATTAATCTTGCTCATAGAAAACACCTTAAGCCATTTATAACATTTAAGACTTGCTTTGGCAGCATGTGTGAATACTTTCTGAAAATCTGATTGTGGGAGATTTAGGAAAAGAAAGTGTTTAACCAAATATAATGGAATTCAGCACAAATGCATGGAGTCGTACAGAAAATAAAATTTGGTAAATAATCCTTTACCCTTTAAATATGGCATATCTTTATGATTTTTTGTTTAATGATCCTTACAAGTACCAAATTGATTCAAAACCAATGAAAGCCCAAAATTTCCACTTAAACAGTGTTAAACAAAGAAGTTGCAATGTAGTTTTTTACTTTCAGGATAATTTGCGATGGAACAAATGAAGATATGAATGCCGACCAAATCTAGAACGGAAATTCAAGGGTGACCTCCAGGAAATGGAATTGCACATTTGTTTTCATTGGAAGCCATAGTCGCAAGAACACCATCTTCTAAATTGACCTGCCAATCTTGTCAATTCCCCTTTGATCTGTCCATCACAGTAATACATTAAATTGTGTTGCTATGGCAACCAAGGTATCCATCTTCAAGCCAATACCAACATCAAGCAATCTTTTCCATTGGCAGCCTGGTGATCAATCAAATATCCTCAATCCTTGGAATACTTCAAATTTGCCACTTATATAAACTTATAGTGGAGTTGTTTGAATTTCATCAATTTTCTTTATCAAATGCACATTCAAAACAGGTCAACCTTCTCCAGAATATTGCCCATCTGTAGTCACCAGATGACCAGAGTAGCCGGTCACATGATTTTAACATACATTCATAGGCAAGGGACCCTGTAGGTGCCCCTCAGTGTACTCTGGTCATCTGTTGCTGCAATAAATGCATTATTTAATGTTGGTCTGACTTCAATTCTTGCCTCAGTGAAACACCTGATCTTACCTGTGATTGTACATTTGCTCCAACTGAGTCTGCCTGATAGTTATCTCCATTGAGGTTCATGTAGGAACCCAGCTGACCTTGGGGCATGTAGCCTAAACAGGAATAATGTAAGAAGACAAAAATTACATGTACATTTCAGTTATTTATTTATTTATTTATTTATTTATTTATTTGTTTATTTATTTATTTATTATTATTTTTTTTTTTTTGCAAATGCATAACCCCTCCTGTAACAAACTTAAAAGAGTAATATGAAATATATTGTGAAAGGTTGACTTTTATATTTGGCAAACAAAACTTGCTGAAAAATTTTGACATAATTTGACAGATTTAAATTTCTCAGAGCAAATGGGATTCCAACCAAAATTGCTGGTCAGGTGTTTTGTAAAATGTGCATTTAATACAAAATGTATGTTCTAAGTGATTTTTAAAAGCCTTTTTAGTTTTTCTTTTTCCAGTTTCCTATCACCAATGTGGCATTATACTATAAACTGGGGAGAACACTGGGTACCTGTCCTGCTTGACATGCTAACAATGCTTATGCAAGACATGCACCTTGTCCAACAAAAGCAATAAGTGTCATTTCGAATGAGAAAGTCTCCCTGATGGATGTTTGTATGCACTGTAAAATTACAAAATATCTGGTTGGTATACAATGCACATAGTTTTGGAGGGATAAAAGTCTGGCTTTGTGAGATTAAAAATAATCCAGTTAATGGGTACTTACTCTGAGGAGGATGAAGTGTGTGTGTGTGTGTGTGTGCGCGCGCGCGCGCGCGCGCAGTGAAGGAGATTCGCAATGATATTGGCAGTATAGTTACCACACATATCTAACACTTACCTTATATGTTTGATTGATTTCTATCTATTTAGTATAACAGGGACAGAGATAAAAGATGAGGATTACACAGAGAGTCGAAATATAAAAGATTTAGTCACTTGTGAGAAAATATACCCTAAGCTTGCAATGTCAGAAGCAGTGGGCAGACGACACTGTCTCTCCATGGAGGTAAAAAGTCCAACCCATTTTTTTTTCTTTTTTTGCGATTCTCTGACATACCTTGACTGGGCCCTTGCATAGCTGCTGCAGTAGCAGCCTTAACGCCATGTAAACGGATGTCTTCCTGTTCCTTCTGTGTGTTTCTCTTGTAACGGATACGTTTGTTACCAAACCAATTGCAAACCTAGGGTATAAAGCAGGAAGACATAAATGACCCGAGAAATGGCTTACCTTCATGAACTCCACCCTGAGAAGCTGCTGCAGCCGTTTTGGCAGCGTATAGGTTTGCTTCCTCTTGGGCTTTCCCGATATTTTTCTTGTATCGGATTCTCTTGTTTCCGAACCAATTAGAAACCTAGAAACATCAACATGAGGACAATTTGTTTAAGAACTCTGGAAAAAGAAATTAATCTCAGTCTATATATTGGCCTTGGATGATGCCCTGCACTGAGCTAGATGTTGCTGGAACTGATATTAGTAAAGTGATAATATTACACATATTCTGTAAAAATGTGATTCTGATAACCCAAATCGATTAAATGAGTTAAAATATCTTATATAAAATCTTTTAGTCCTTGTTTTCAAAAAGTTGAAAGAGTTAAACAATTACATTAACTACATTTATTTACATACAAAGTTGAAGCTTGACTAACAACAGCATTCAAATTTTCTACTAGTTAATTCCCTGACAATAAATGTTTGCTGTTCCTCACTGCTTTAATTCATATTTTTAAACATAATTTTGAGAAAGCTAAAATTTACTTGACTAAAACCGAATTCATGCTAGTGTGTTTCCAGTAAGCTCATTTATTACATTTAAATAATATATTAATAAATGTGTAAAATCTTATCTCAATGATGATTCAGAACATAAATGATGTCAAAACTTGGAAGAGATTTTTTTTAATGAAATAAAAACTTTTTGGAATGAAAAAAATTATGTTAAAGAAATAAAGTTGAGTCTCACTAAATATGTATGACAATTTAAAACCTGAGTGAGTAAAATCTCAAAATTGTTTGTAGAAAAAAACCCAAATACATTTACACTAAATAATAGTTACCTGGGACACTGTGATGCCGCACTTCCTTGCCAACTCCTCTTTGGCTTCTTCTGATGGGTATGGGTTGCTTAAGTGGGCGTAAAAATACTCATTCAGAATTTCAGATGCCTGTTTGCTGAAGTTACGTCTCTTGCGCCTAGAAAAGAATAGAAAAAAAAAAATATATAAATATATATATATATATATAAAAACGTTGAAATCTGGTCAGAAGCTTTTTGCTGGCCTATGTTTGAAACTTCCAGTTAACAAGAACAGCAAGGTAATTGTCGAATAGAAATACTCCATTAAACAGATTAGTATTACTTCCGATATTTTGTGTTACATTTCACATGTTATATTCACTTTACTTTATGCTTAGATCACCAATATTTTTTCTTGATCAAAGATTTTAAAACACAATTGAATGACAATTAAAAGCACCCATGCCTGATCCTCAATTCATGATTATGTTATTTAAATATTTAAAATGCGACACACTTAAATCCACAGAAATTAGTCCTTTATTTTAATACAGAAATTAGTTCCCTGTGAGTTCCATATTTTGATTGAAGAACAGAATTCATTCTAGTCAAACGAAGTTAATATCAAATATCTTTAAATGGTTTTTGCCCGATTTCATTATTCTCCAGAGACAACTTCAAATGTACCAAAACTGCAATTGTTATCTTAATGACAGGGTGCAAGTGTATGATATGTCTCTACTAGTTGTTTAAATTTACAAAAAAAAAAAAAAAAAAAAAATTACCGGTGTAGCAAACATTTTAACCTTGAAGTGACTCCCTCATGGCCAAGTGACATGTATTATAACAACTGATTCATTTTTCTTCTGACAACATAAACGTGCATGCTGCTAGCAATAAGGTACAGTCCACTCCATATAAATAGCACAGAAAATTAATAGTCTATATAATGAGCAAATAATGACTGTCCCATTACTGTAAACTAACCAGACTAGCCCGTGTGGACTTGAATAGCTGGTCACTTGTCTGTGCCACTAACATAAGTTTAAACATTCACACCCACAAATAAACATTTACCTATCCTACCTGAATATATCCAAACAAGCATTCACTAACCTTCCCCAAAAAATCACAATTGTTCCTGATACATAATTACCAAAAAACAAGTTGGGTACTTCCATTCAGCCCCACTGTTTGTACACTCCAGTGTTTGACATATTTTAATTTTTTTTGTCAACAAATCAATCAAATATTTTAAATGTATTATATCCAATGCACACTGCGCTGATCAAAAACATAACTTTCTGAACAAACATAAAAATTAACTCAGTTACTTTAAGAGGAAAAATTTTGTGGGAATGATGGGAACTGCCATCCAGCGGTAACAATATGGTGTAATTCTTATGCCGAACAAATTGCAGCAAACTGGAATTATGGCCTCCCTGTACCTCCAAAAATTCACACTACTACGTAAACCATCTGTATCTCACACGGAAAAAGTGTACATAATTCATGCCCACTTGTCAGAACTAATGGTCTCGCTCAACTGAACCGCTTGCGAAATCTATCAGTAAATTGGTTCAAGATACTGACTGTTCAGTATTCTGGCACGCACTCTCGACTACTGCCCTCACATTTTGACACCATTAATGAAATATTTCTTAAATGCCTGTAATGAACATAAATAAGTACTATAAATATTTTTCTGAAAACAAGGGGGGCTAATTGTTGTATCAACGTAGCAGCAGAAATCCTTTTAAGGAGAAAATAAAAATTCGAAGGCTTATACAGTCAAGGGAAAAAAATGATGTAGAAAGTACTTTTAAATACATTACTTGAATGAATGGAAAAGGCAAAGTTGACATTCCATTCAGTGGACTATCTTAAGTTCAGAAGAAAAATACATTTACAAATGCACGAAAAATATATGTCTAATTGAATACATAGAAAAAATGTCTAATTTAGCCTTATATTCTTTTTATCTTGTTTCAAAAATTGTATTACTGCTCTTTTTTCGCTTTAGACAATCATGTTAAAGTCATTACTCAGCGTCAGTCTGAGAAGAGCATTCATATTTTCATTTTAACAAAAAAATCTTTTAATACTGATTTTAAGTCCCATGTGATTTTTGACTATGAAAAACAGCCATTTACATCTTAAGCCAATCAAAATTCAACTTATTTCGTGTCTCACAAGTGTAGGTAGTGGTAAAACAAAAAGAAATCTCAAACTGTCAAAAGTTGAGGCAGACAGCACATTTGTTTTCTATGAAACGTTAAATGACTGTACCAAGGAACACCTTCTACCATCTTATGTTATTGTCAAGCACAGAGTTATGAACTGACAAGCAATCCTGACTTCCCCGTTACTCTTCCTGACGCACACGGCATAAAATACCTGTCACAAGAAGCTTGAACTAGACTTAAGGGGCATCTGCCTTCAAGACAGACTTCATCTCTTACCTATAGTAAAGTATAGGCTATACTAAGCAGGTATAGCTTGCAACTACCACATGATATTACACATATATACTATTATAATAACAACCTTTCCCACTGGCAAATGACTTTCCTCTGAAATACCTTAGTTCAGCAATCAGCATAATGATACTTGGGTCAGATGACAGAAAGATAATAGAGAATGCGTCCGTGCATGTGTGTGCATGCATGTGTAGGAGATGGTAGCGGTCAAATTCAAGGGCCTTGCTGGAGAATTTATCAAAAAGGTCGGAACTGAATTTCTTGCAGTGTAATTTGCATATATTTTTTAAAATCCACTCTGATGTTGTTCTTCAAATGACTTCCCTGAATTGACTGTAAAAACTGTAAATGGAGCACTAAATCTCAGTGGCACAACTGTATTTGTACACTGTGAGAGATCAAAAACTTAATAGTCTGGCTATTTCACAAGATAGTCGCCTAAAAGACCCCCCCCCCCCTCCACCTGAGAAATAATTCACTTGCATATCAAACACTCAGAGAACTTGTGAGAAGAAAGAAAGTTCCAAGTAGCATATTTTCATGGGAGAACCTCTTAAAGCATAACGATGCAGCTGCATCACTAAGATATAATACTTGATGGGAAAAGACCTAAAGAAGTATACACATGTCCACCAGTGATTTCAAGGTCCATCAATAACCAAATGAAAAACTAACAAATGCTTTACTGTTGTAAACTCATGAGCATGACATCTTCAAATGTCTTTTTCCTTTTTATGTGGACTATAACTGACTAATACTATGGCAATGTACTCGATTATCGCCAAAGACACGGCCGCTTTGTTGTGTGCAGAGGTGGTTACTGCACTTACATATCCACAAATGGGTGCACTTTTTCTGTCATGTCAACTGCAAGACTTGAAGAGAAAGCACATGAAAGGGGAGAGCAATCCATACAATTACATTTTTTAGGATTATACATTTAAAAACACTATTATATTGTGCCTAGGCTGATGATTTATGATTTTTTCAGGACATTTCAATAACATTTTCTCCCCGCAAAACTTCATGTTTGTAATAAGGGATGAAAGGTATTATATCTTGAGAATTTTCAAAATTTTGATAATGAAGGGCAGTTACTAGCACTGATGAAAGCATGCTAAGAAATAGTAGAGCAGTGAAGGTTCCAGTGACCTCTGCAATTCTGGGCAATTAAGGCATGCTTAATACAAATTCATTTGACCATTCAGCTGCAATTAAGGATTTTTACTTCAATAGGATATCAATAATGGAGTACACAGCTTCTCTGATAAATTTCAATAATTTTACTTAGGACAATTTTGTACTTAAGGTTAAATGTTATGTTAAGTATTGGGATTTCTAAGAGGCCAGTGTTTCATTCATTCCATGATACACAAGTTTTATTTCACATCCATAATATCAACTTTTTTTGCTTGAACCAATTTACCTTAAAGATAAAGGAAACATTAAAAATTCAAGGGTTTATACTCATATAATTAACTGAAATAAATAAAATTTTGCTTTTGCTCAAAAGAAACAAAAAATATTGTGACCAATATTTCCAACCTCTGTCCAAACTCCATGATGTGTTGATATCTTCTTCCCAATCTCTCATGCATTGATGCAATTACTGATTGTGTATACCTTTATCGTGATTAGCACAGCAGTAAAGGACATCAAAGAAACCTGCTAGGCAAGCACACACGCACACATAAGCTCTGCAGTGGGGAATCTTTATGATGGTCCACTATGACCTTTACTAGTGACACAATGTAATAAGGTCACTTTATCATGTTTTTACCTCTGAATGAACCAAATATAACTTTTTAAAAAATTAATAATTTTTATAGAAAAGAAAATAATTTAAGACGTTTGAAAAATATTTAAAATGCAAGCTAGAGACCAGTTTTTTTTTCAAAATTCAATCTGTTGTGATGTGCTTGGAAGAAAAATGGAACTACTGGTGAATGTGGCATGTTAAGGCAGTTCTATACAGGGTCAATGGTCCCATCAGCGGTAAGCTCTCGCTTAATTGTTCCCTGGCACACCAGCATTAGCATACGCTGCTATACATTTTTTTTTTAACCGCTGTGACAGAAAGACATGGTATTCACCCACAACCTGCACATGTGCTCTTTTCTGCAATAAGTATCTGCACCCTTAGTAATAGGCTTGTACAGAAACATCAAACAAACCCCAGAAATCCCATATCATTCCTTCCACTGGATATGGAGACATCCCCAAGGGGAACCAAGCTAATTTGCTGCTGTTTTCAGCAATTAAATGGGGTCGCAGCATAGCTTTTGATCCATGACAAAAAAGTCAACAAGTCAAAGAATTCATTTCAGGTTTACAGTCCCAGTCAAAGTGGTCCACCATAAGCCAGTTCACACAAGACTTATTTTGACCAGAAATTGAACCGATTTCTGACATGAGAGGGCTTGTAAGATTTACCACAGCCATTTATATCAAAGATGTCAAATGTACTCTGTGAAGAGCCCCCCCCCCCCCCCAACTATACCCCTTAGACATCTAAACCCCCCTAGTGATCTGATGATTGAAGTTCATTTGGCTTAAAATAGCACTTGTCTGAACAAACTTATTTGGAGTGGGCATATAACAATTGAAAAACGAGTGCCAGTCATACCCAAAGAAGACAGCAGTTGGAAGCAAGTCTTAACCAAGTAAAATTAATGTTTTACCTGAAATTTGATTCAACTGAATTTCCATACTACAATCTTATTGGATATTCTAATGCTACTCCATATTAGAAAAGAAAAAACCAAACCAACTTTCCAAGAAAAATATAAAGAAAAACAAATAAATTAAGAATGTAAAAACTCCCCTTGTTAACAATCAAACTCCAATAAAACTGCCAGATTGTCTCCACTTTGTACTTCGTCATTAGAGTATTTACTCAGTGACGTTCTTTGTGAAACAGCTGCTGTCATCCTCCCTTTGGGAATTTCTTCTCAATAATTCATCATCCCATTTAGCAAAATTTCTTCAACAAGATCTGTCAATTTTTTATGAGATTTCTATTACAATTTCAAGCCTGTACTTCACACGATATGTCAGCACACCACGATAAAATAATCATGTCATGCTTCTAAAAGCAAGCACGGAGTGCCCCGCTGCATTCCTGGTCTTGCGAAGTCAACAAAGTTGTCTTTGTTTTATGTCATCAAAAATAATGGAGGAAATGTTTTAAAATATATTTTCAAGGACAGGCTGGCATGGGTTAGACTTACTTTGTTTAGGGGGTGCAGAATTTAAACTATATTTCCTCAAATGAAATGGGTATATAGAGTTTTTTTAATGCCATTAGAATGAACAGTGTCTGTTAGGTGATTGGGCCAACACACAGTTAATTATAGACATCATCATCCTAAATTAAAGCAAAAGCAAAAAACAAAAAATACAACAACATCATCAACAACATTGACAACAACAATAATAACAACAACAACAAAAAGGAAATGATAATTGAAAATAAATTCTTTTATATGATTCTTGGTTAATTTTTTATTTCATAATATTCAGGCAAAGTCTTGGTAAGTTAAGTCTAATCCCTTTCAGTTAGTGTCACTGGCACAATATCCCATCCTTAACCAGTCACGAGACCTTTACTATCCAGTCAGGGAACATTACATGATAAGACCATATTAAGGCTTTCACACTCAAGAACAAACATACTCTGTACTACTAACGATTCTCAACGCACACTGTCAAACTTGAAAAAAGAAAAGAAAAAAAGAAAAAAAGTTCTTTTAGCTAACTATCACTTTTCTGCGATCTTTTCCCTGTTAATCTAATAAAATCAATCATGCAAACTTATTATTTCCACCCCAGGGAAATCATGATTTAGTTCTTTTTAAAATTCCCTCTCCCCATACATCAAAATAATGCAATATTTCTCTCACAGGCGGTGCTCTGATTAAAACGACGATTCCTGAGCTCTGACAAAAATTCTGCTGGGAATGGAGGAATTTCTGCCAAGGTTTAGCAGTCCCTTTAGCATGAACCTACCTTGCATCCAGAAACCGTGACCTCAGTATCATGACAGCTTCACACGTGCTCTGCTTGAGCTGCATTTCTATGGCGGAAAACTTCTTACGAATAATGCTAACCATCCGCTCAATTTCTTTGGGGGCAATAGGACGGGTTCGACTCTGTTCTCGTAGTAGATTCACCACGTGTGTTGTGAATTCATTACAAGCCTTCCGAGATAAAAACATTGCATATGTTTGGGGTAAAAAATTTCTGGTAATCAAATGCATAAATGATTTTACATTTGTATCAATATTAAATCAATTAACTACTGCAAGTGTATTTACAGATAATGAACTGAAAAGAGATAAAATTCTGAATCAATAATCCTTGAATTAAGGCCACATAAAAATACTAATTAAGTTCATTCTGTTAAATCCATCCTCAATACAAAATTTCTTCCAAAACAGATGTTTCAGAAAAACTTAATCTGCACATACCTGTTCATATTTCTCCAACTCTGTGTGATAAATCTGTCGAATTTGAGCCAGTTTTGCCCTATAATCTGAATGTTCAATAGCATTGTCTCCCCCTGATGCTGCCGCTGATGCACTGGCAGCAGCTCCTGCTCCACCCCCCTTCTCAGGGCCTGCCACCCCCTCTGCTATCAACATATTGTCCAATCGCATCAGCTGAGGATCTGGCGGTTCATCTTCATTTGTGTTTCGTATACTGAGAACTGTGGGTTAGAAAAAAGTACTGTATTAGATCACTGGCACCAAAAAGTGTAAATATTGTATAAGATATTTAGTCACTCTGATTTCACAATTTGTATACATTTTCATTTAAACAAAATAGATAACTATATTTACATATAATAAGTAAAACAAAAGTGATGAAATTACAGTATTGTAAAATTTCTCAATGTCTGGTCTTAGGTCAAATGAAATTAATTTTTGCAATTAGCAAATACTCTGTGTACTAGCATTAACCTAGGACATTTGACATAATGAAACTATTTATCATCTTTATTACTCATGACATTACAGAGCTCATCATTGTCTTGACTGTGTGTAGAAAGATAAATGTACACAGATTTACGTTCATCAGATGATAGTTTTCAATTGTTTCAAACAATTTATAAAGCAATTCCCCATTTATCACAAACATACTACACCAATTCATGAATAAAATTATCAAGCAGAAAAGAAAATATGTTAACTATATCAGTAATAGTAAGTCATAGTGTTAGGAAATTGCACATTTTCAACAAACAAAATCTAATTTAAGGTGACAAAAACAGTTCATTATCTTAAAGCAAAAGTTATCGGATAGCAGTTACAGTAGAAGTATTTTTGAACTGAGACCGTTTGCCTTATAATGAATCACTCGTGAGAGAAAATCAAATTGCCTTCTATCCAAAAACCTGAAAATGCCTTGAAATTTTCATGCCACCTTAGCAAAGGTGAATCTGTCAATTTTACTAAACCTACATGATGAACGTTTGCATTTTACCCAGCACCATTTTTTATCTACGCTGACTATATTACTTTTTAATTTCCCCTCAAGAGAGGCAATGCTTTGGAAAGTGCCAGACATATTGTAGACAGAAGAAGGCCATTATCCACAATCCTGGCATCAAAAAGGCAATTACAACAAAGAAAATGCACAAATACGATTACACTTTCTTCATGCTGAACTGGGGTCCGTAACTTTCATTTGGGGCCTAGATTCACAAGTCTGAACAATAATTCCAGTCTCAGGCATTCTCTTATACACTACACATGCAAGTACTTGATAAAATATTTTATTTGAAATCTCCCGAGGCTTCTGAGGCCGGGTGATAAATGGCTTTTGAAACTACCCTTGTCGTATCAGATAGAATTTTTTGCCGTTAGGGACCGGCTGATTAGAGGCGGCTTGCAAGGAAAGTGACCTGGAATGTTACAGTCTTTAAACTAATGGGATTTTCGATCAAATAAAGAACCTCTGGCAATTTACATGATAAGTTTTCTGTGAATACCTATCCATGTACCTTGGGAGCTGTGGGCAATTTCTGGATGACTGAGTATATGGCTTTTCTCCGTTCTCTTATTTATATGTGCTCAGGGCTAGTTTTATTTATGCTCCATGCCCTGTGTCAGGACAAAAGACCAAAACTTTGGAAAACCTACTCTCTTTTCACAGAGTTTCTCATAGAGGCCCAAAACGTATAAAACGCACTACTGATATCGAGCGAAAGTTAAATGACACAATAGACAGATATTCCCTCCAGACTTAATTTTATGTACTGTAAGCCCTAATTTGAAAAGTCTTTAGCCTTTATTTTTCTCTTCACTGCCTAGATCAATGGAAACATATCACTATTTGAAAAGCACGACCCTTAAAAGTGATTCAAGCTGACTGAATCCTTACAAATCTGAGACAAGAATTTGTGCATATAACAGAAAAGTTCAATTTTAATTTGTCTATGTTTTTTCAATATATAATCATAAATACTAAATTAATGATTATTTAATTAATAAACAAAAAATAGTTAATGACCTTTTTTGTCTGACAATTGTCTGACTCTTCACGTATCAGGGAGACCATTTAAAAGGCTTCCGCAACATCTGAGAGAAAGACAAAGGTAAAAAGAACTTCATAAGGCAGCTTGGAGCTTTACGAACAAAGGACTAACATTTTCAAAAACAAAAAGCATTTAACAATATTGGTTGTCAAAGCATTAGAAAATAAGGGCAAAAAAGACTGGTCTAGTAGCATTTGAGAGAGGGACTTATTTCTTTACAAATGTCAAACATCGACTGCAAAAAAAACCCTATTATCTAAGGTTGCATTGAGAACAGTGGGCAAATTAGTCCGAGGGTCAAATGTGGCCGACCCACATGAATACTTCCCCACGGGGAATCTATTCAGTGCCTATTACTGGATTAGATGGCAAGCTTTTTAGTGGGTCACGTTATTTGACTCTCGGACTAGTTAGTCCATTGTTCTGAATACAGCCAAAAACATCCCTAGTGACTTCACCCAGAGGCTAGCTCACAGGCAGGCAGTCCTTGTTATATATAGTCTGCCTGGGGAAAGACCCTGGAGTGGAACAAATGATCCACTGATGTGCCTCACCACAGGGGTTTACAACATCTAAGACTGCATGGGTCAGAAATGCTGGGGAATACAATACAGCTCCACATTTAATCAGGGAAAATTACAGCGCAAATCTGTGCTTGGGGTTTCCGCAAGGAGTGGAACATGAATGTGCGCTATTGTCTTGGGGTGGTGCCGTAGTGGTTTCTAGTTAGCTAAGTTATCACCATCAGATATATTTGTATAGCATGTCTCTTTTAGGTTTACCTGTTGAAATTTTGACAATCTTCAACAACCTTCAAAAGCATCATCTGCTGCTGTTTTTCCTCTGCTCTGCTAGCCCATTATTTTTTCAATATTCAGATTTATTTATTACCCACATAAGAAGATTTCATCCTCTTGTCAGAACAACAAATACCATGATACATGTTTTTGTCAAATGCAAACTGTTACACGGTGTCACGGATGATGGAAATAAATAAATAAGGCTGTCAGCCTGTCACTGGCACAAGGAGATCAATAAAGATCATTCATAATTCATATTCTAGTTAGGGCCACTTAGTACTTAACCACGCAGGCATCTTTTCGCTATAGAAGCACATTAACAGATATACAAGAAATATTTAAATTTTTTGAAAACCAAACACACACACACACACACACACACACACACACACACACACACACACACACACACATATAAAAAAAAATGAAGAAGAGACACAGTGAAGCTGAATTTCTTACAGCCGATTCACAATTTATTCAAGGGAAAAGGGTAGTAAAGAAATAAGGCAAAAACAAATTTTTTTCAGTTTCTTTCGCTGGGAGATAAAATCAGACAATTTAAGAAGATGCCCAACCTCCACTTTGAGACCACTGCTGACAGCTCCAACACACGCCATCTCATTAAAATAAGTTTCTGTGCTGTAGGTGTCACTGCACACACGTTTCCCCCAAGACAAGACAGGTAATTAGAGAGTTTGGTTCATCTTCCTGTCAATTTCAACCCAAGTTGTTGATACCTTTGACAAATTTGTCACAGCAGCCCACACCACTGCCAATTACTGTCAAGATAATGAGGAACACAGCATTTCTGCAGACTTTGATGAGCAAGCAATTAGACAGATGACTTCTCGCTCATCATTCCTGCAGGAAACGGCAAATTTAAATTTTTTCCTTTTTAAAGCATGAATAATGTGGGAATTATGCTTTTGATGGGATATATATTTTTGCTACTACCTGCAGAGTTGTAGAGTGCAACCGAAGAAATATATTTGCAATGATCTATTATATCATATATAAAATGAACATTTAAAGAAATAATATAACCATTAGGCAATGTACTCATCTACACAAAACCATATGAACAATATTCCCTTTGACAAACCTACAGTTCACACATAACACCAGATGAGACAAGTCTGTGCACATACGCAAGTTATATATCTAGTAGGAAGAAATCTCTATTTTATTTCCTATTATTCCTTTCTTCTACCTTTAGAGAGTTACGTGCCAATAAGCAGTGTAGCTTAGAGAACTTGAGATGCAATTTCTATTCCCCTGGGGGGAAACTTGCAGGGCAGTATCCAACAAACCTTGTTTCTCAAAAAAGTGAACCATGATAAGTTTTTCTTTCAATTTTAAATTTCTTTTTAAGCTTTCCTACCAAAGTAAGGATTAAAGCTGAAAGATGGGTAAAAAGTATGTTTTATTCATCTTTTTTAAATGATAAGTAGAGAATAAAATAATAAGATTAAACAGGAAAAGCACCCCTAAACAAAGCAGTGCATATCTTATACTTGCACAATTTCTCTGTGGGAGAGAATAGCAGATTTGAAAGCAAACATCTGTTCAAATCAAAAAGTTACCAAAAATAGACACAACAATAAAACAGAACAGAAATATTGGCCAAATTTTCTCCTCATTATATGGTATACAATCATAAAATATATACCTCACCCAATTTTTATTCATGAAATACTGAAGTGTTACATGAACACTTTATTTCTAACAACAATAAAATCATATAATTAATAAAATATATTGCAATATTCAAATATGAAATTTTCTTTCTTAATGTGCAAAATTAATGCAACCAGACAACAAAAAGAAGATCCATTCAATGTTCAAAGCCTGTAGTGTTCTAAAAAAGACAAGGGATTCAATGCTGAAAATGCCATTAACAATGTCTCTGCTTCCTTATACACAGGGTGCCTGAAAAACAGATGCCAAGCAAAGCACATGTGAGTAACCCCAGGCCACTTCTCTGGTGTGATTTTACCAATTAAATACTCCCCATTGTTTTACCACAAGAATTCTACTTGTTACTTGGACTGGAGTGATGGGATCTGCAGAATTAGAGGTGACGTTATGTGGTGGGGGTCACCAATTAGCTCAGGGTCTGCGACATTCTTGCATTCTTTTTTCTTTCTACTCTATTGCAACAAAAGGCTGGGTGCTGGGAGGTGGGCTATTTTGGAATCTGATGTTATACTTTTAACATCGTTTCAGCATTTTCTGTTATGTTTGTCTTTTTGTCTTTTAAAAATGCATTGCACAGTTATGCAAGCATTGATATCATGGCGCTTTTTTTTTAGAAAAAGATACATCCAAATCTGACATCTATTTCTGCAAATCATAGCTTATTTTCACAGC